GTTGTATCATTTTAATAAATGTTTTAATGTATGAGTTATTTCAAAAATTTTAAATTATTGTGTTCTTATATTTACAATGATATTCACCAATACTTAGAAACTTTATTGCATAGTAACTTTTTCTTGGTGTTTTGATTTAGATAATACAAAAATTGTTATTTTACGAACAAAGAATAGATTTGTAAACATAATTTCTGACATTATATTTAGAATATTTTTCGATTTCCTTATTAGAATAATTTTTATACTTTTTTATTTAAATTTAGACAGTCAATATTATCTATGATTATAAATATATATAATATCTTTTATATATATAATATTGAAAGATAGAAGTATGATAACGTAAGAATTATAATAGTGCTTCTAGCTTTCCAAGCACTACACTTTAAATATTAAAAAGAATAGCCATTATATTTTTATTTAAAACATAAATATACCAATAATTGAATTCATATAATAATTGCCAAGTCATTATTTAACACATTATATTAGTGTTTCATTAAAATTTTTTTACTCGATCAATTCCATAGGTAATGAAGCAACAGAAATTTTTCAAAGAAATTGATAGTTATGTATGACTTAAAGTAAAGATTAATTAATTATCAATTATTAATTGTTACGATCTTTTAAAATAGATTTAGAATTATTCAGATAAGTTGATTTATGATGCAAATGCTATTTTATTATGTAAATATTAAATATAAGTTATTTTTATAAAATTTATTAATTATTCATTTATTTTAGTATTGCTATTTTGATATGTAACTTGTATTTTTTTCCTAATATTGTCTATATAAATAATAAACGTGTTTTTCTATTACAAGAATATAAATTAATTCTAAATTTATTTTTATTTTAAAAATCAATATTTACAGTACTAGAGTATTTTAATATAATTATAATTTTTTATGTTTATGAGACATAATAGCACATTAATTTTAATCTTAAATTCATTAAATTCAGTACTATGGAATATATGTCATAATTTTAAAGTATTGCGTATTACATTCAATATTTTGAATTAAAAACATTACATTAATTATAAAAGATATTACGAATTTTCGACAACTGACTCTATAAAATATAAATGACAAATGATTCTATAAAAAATATTTTTAAATAAGATTTTATTTAAAGAATATATTCCTTTTTTCATTGATTGCATTATTAATTACTTAATTGATGTAATCCGGCAAACTATAAAAGAGTAAAATTATTTTTCCAGTCTATTTCAATTATTTCAAATTTCTAAATATTTTCAATTAATTTAATTACAATATTAGATATTTTATATATTTTATTATATGTATATATATTTTACAATATTGAATTATTTTTGTTTGTTATGAGATTAAATATTTAAAACATTTTTTACAGATGATCTAATGTAAATAAATGAATATTTTTATGAAAATTTTCACTACACCAACTGATTATTCATATTTTAATATATGTATATATATATAATATCGATAAGTTTTCAATCGTCGATTCTGTTGTTATGAATGTGTAAGCCAAACTAAGTATATACTTAAATATGGCTGTTGATAAAATCTAGAAGTTTACCAAGAGTCCGAAATGATTCGAGATTTTCAATAGAGGACATATATGCGTTCTTCGAAAAAAGGTTCCGCGGACAACAAGCGAACTCGGCACCTCATCCTTCTCTCGCGGATCCTTTCTCGTGCGCGCGTGGTCGCAAATCTCATAATGTGCAGCAGACGCAGCTGCCAACAGGTCCTTGTATTCATCTTCGATCGTATCAACGCCGGTGAATTATTATTCGGAACCTTATGCGTGATAGTAAAAGATAAAGCTCTCATGACGTCGTATCCGCAACAAACATGGATACTGGTTCCATTTTACTTAAGATACACACTCGCGGTCATCGCCTGTCCTCCACCAAATAATCTGGGCGTTCAGCTTTCCATGCTCGGATATGCAAGCTTGAGAAAATTTCGAATACTGATTTCTAAATATATAGCCTTAATCTTTATATTTTATTTACTTATATTTATTTTTCAGTTTATGTATATATCAGATATTCTATATTTATAATTTGTATATGGAATGTATTTAAATGAAAACATTTTAAATGTAAATTAAATTTCGGTACACTATCCAAAGATCTGTTTAACACTTCAAATATGTATAAATTAATTCCAAATTTAATAAAAACATATAATTATATTCTTTGTCTCATATTAGTTGAATATTATAAGTGGAAAATATTATAAGTTGCAAAATAAGTGAAGAGAAAGTAAGTACATCGCTAAAAAGGCAGGTATTTGCCCAATTAATTCTTAAATTTAAAAAATCTGACACTTAGTTAATAAGATCAAAACATTTAAGAAAACTTAAAGCAAAACCTTTTTTACTTTTTCTTATGCGCCAATTGAAACCGTGCGTTGCGCCGTGTCAGAAGGAGAGAGAGGACCACCGCGGCGAGAAATTATTAACAGTGAGGAAGAAGCAATTCCTCGTATATTCTCTTGTGCATGGATCATCTACAATTCTGTCTGCCTGTCTCTCTCTCTCTCTCTCTCTCTCGCTCTCTCCCTCCCTCTCTCTAATTCTAACTCACTCTTCCATTCCATACTCCTCCTGGATGTCTACTATTTAGTGTGAAATCATGCGTATGAACAAGTCAAACTTTTCTCCGACTCCCTTGATACGAAAAAAATTAACAATCGAATTGAAAATGAGCATGTAATTCTTATAGATGGTTATGCTCAAATTACAAAAGTCTATTCAGCTTATATATAATACGGATAATATAGATAATGCGTAAAAAATAAAACTAATTTGGGGAGGGGAGGGGGGAGAAGCAAGTGATGGATATTTGAATTGTATATGATTGCATGGCTACATATAAACATGTATGTATAGAAATATGCTGTCAGAATTCGTTGACCGAACTCTCCCTCACCGTAGAACTACCATTAATTATCGCTTTGATGCGCAACCGACCTTTTACTCTTGCCCATCTCAATTCACTCTCTCTTTTCTCTCTTTGTATTTGTTTCTCATCTATTATTTATAGTCAATGTTTCCATCTACAGCTGTTTAAGCTCCTTTGATTTAGCAATCCATTGTTGCTTTCATGCTTGAGTGAGATTTGTAAAAAATATTAGAATATATAACGATAAACAAATGCATTATCAATATATAGTATATAATTTGATTAAATTTTTGTTAAATAAACAATTTCAAAATAAATTTGCTATTATATTATAATACACATGTTATATACCATAATCTTTAGCGAAATAGCGTATTAAGAATTTTGTATTAAAAATTAAAAAGTCAGCAGGATTTATATTAAAAAAAATATTTTATAGTCTTTCGATAATACAACAGTTTTTAATTCTACTAAATGATTCTTTAATTACATTTATAGTCAAGAGAGTTGAAAAAAATTGATGGAATAATTTCTTGGATATAAGAAATTTACTATTCGCAATGATTATATTTTAAGAATAAGATAGATTTATTTTATAGGAATTTCTCATATTCAATATAAAATATAATATAAAATTTAAAAGAATTTTTCAATTTATTTTAAGTTAGAAATATTTATTCAAATATTATTTTAGTATATTCATCTACAAAAGTTTTGCATCAAAATACGTTGAAAAGTTAATATTTAATTTTATATAAGAAAAGAAAATACCCTGCAAATTTCAAGCTTATTAAATATTAGATAAGTAATAATAATTGTGAAAATTTATCTTTAAAACTAATACTTAAAATATATAAGGTAATTGAAATGTATTTTGTTTTCTATAACGAAGAATTTGTTATAAAATTAAATTATACTAAAACTAATTAGAAATTAAATCGAATACTTTTATTTTAATCTTAATATTATGAAAAGCAATAAGTACATTGAAATAAATGTACTAAAAATGTTTACACAATATATATTTATCATTCAGAAAGGTTTAATGATTCATAATAAAAAATCTTGTTAATAAAAATTTTTATCATTTTTTGAAGAAGTGAAAAAATTGAACGAAATTTAAATATAAATTATCGCAAAAATAATTACATTCATAGTTATTGGCTCAGCCAATGTATTATGAGTGAGAATTATAGATTATCACTAAATGAATAAATATATAGTTTATTTAATTTTAAGTTTATTCAATTTAAAAGTTGATTAATTATTAGAACCCAAAATTATATAGTGATCAGATAAATTACTAAACCATCGATGAAATACTAATTGAAAGAATTTATTTTAAACAGCATTAGCTGTTTGATCAAAATAGTTTCTAATATATGTTAAATTTAAATACTACATAACAAGTTTTCATTTCATTCAGTCATTTAAAAAAATTTCAAATTTTTTAATCATTCGATTTTAATGTTTAGAGCTAAAAATATAACGATAAATTACCAAAAGTTAGTATCAATGCCAATATAAACACCAAATTTACAAGAGTTTGAAATTATTTTAATACACAAAATATAATTTCAGGTCAGTTCCTTTATAAAATTAAAATTATTATATAACAGTATTTACTTTATTTTGTCATTCTTATAATCAAATTTGATGATAATGAATAAGTAAAAAATGTATTCGACCCGAGTAATATAGAGTATTACATTTCATAATTGAATATTACAATCTATTTAATATAAGTATATTTAATTGTATTGATAAGATATAGTATAAAAATTAATAAATATAATATAAAAATTAACAAAAATAGTATAAAAAATGTTTTGAAGTATGATATTGATGATTTAGATACAAAAATGTTAGGTCTGAAATTAAATAGCCTTGGTCCAATATCTATAATTTTAAACATTTTAAAAATAATATATTAGAATTATGCAAAGATAAATTAAATTTTATAAAAGTTTTTATTTTATTTTACAGAATATTAACAACAATAATGATAACAACAACAACAACAATATTAATAATAATAATAATAATAAAACTGCCTTTTTACTCATTATTTTATGTATTTATAATTATTGTTTAGGACGAACTTACAATGATCTTAATCAGTATCCCGTATTCCCATGGGTTTTAACCAATTATGAAACGAAAGAACTAGATTTGAGTTTACCAAGTAACTATCGTGATTTGTCAAAGGTAATATTATTTATATAAAAAATTGTTAGCATGATTATGTTGTATTATAATCACTATATAGTGGGTTAGATAAATATAATTTTACTGCATTTATACGAGAAAATTTTTATAATATAAGTATCAAATATATTTACAGCCTATAGGGGCCTTAAATCCAAGTAGAAGAGCTTATTTCGAAGAACGATTCCAGGGTTGGGAACATGACAGTATCGCGCCATTTCATTTTGGAACGCATTACTCTACTGCTGCATTCGTTCTAAATTGGCTTATTCGAGTGGTGAGTAGTAATAAATTGTTTAAAAATACTAAATCATACCTAGTAGTGCATTGTACTTTTGAATTCAGCAATTTTATACAACCTTAATATTTCATCAAGAGTACTATAAACAATCAACGTTATTAAAAATTTTTTTAGACACAATCAAAATATAAATAATATTATATCGTTTAAGAATTTTCTAAATTATAATTTTATCTAATGCTTAGAACATTTATTATGTATGAAAATATGAATACATTCTTCATAAAAAAAGTGCGTACAGTTTTTGATTAGGTCATTTATTACAAATTTCATTAATGGATGTACTTATATGTTAGCTTATCTTTAAATCATCAATTTATTGAAGTATTCACACTATTATTATTATTTTATCTAGAATAAACAAAACTTTTTTATTAAAAAAAATAGTTACAATAATATAATACAAAATTAGTTAGTCCTTTTATTTAAGTTATGTTTAATCTTCTGCCATAGAATAGTCATTTAATTTGCATTTAGTAGGTGAAAGATCATTACTTTAACAGTAACATCAGTAGCTGCTTCGATTTTCGACACATCGTGTCAAAATGAGCAGCATCGTTGTGTGTTGAAGTCGACCGTAAATCTGCTAGACGTATTTAGTAGGTTGTACGTTTGCACTAATTTGGGGGCGTGAGAGGGAGGAGACGACCATTTATTTTATTTTATTCTGCTGTCTGTCTATCTCTCTCTCTCTTTTATCTGCTTATTCTCTTACTCACTTTGTTTCTTTTTTCTTTGGGCTCGTGCCATTACGACATGCCCAACTTCCGTTTCGTCTCAAATAGACTTAGCTTGCGAGTAGTGTTGACGGGTCCGTTTTCTCGGGATCAGACTACTTTTACTTACTCTTTTGCTAACAGGTTACAAGTTTTATTTGAGTTGTTTAAAAATTATTCTCGTTTTCGTTCTTTACCGCACCCAAAACTTATCAATTTTTTTATTTTAAAAGTCACGGTAATCTTTCACTTTTAGAGAAGTAATTAGTTTTCCACGTTATTTTTTCAAATAAATGTATGGTATTAATTGTATCGTATTTTTTTCTTTTTATTTATAATATATATGTATTTAATACATTATTCGTTTGATAAATTAAAAAAAAATGTATATAAATATTACAGTACAAAATAGATAAATAGATACATTTGACTATTAATTTATTTCATTGACTTAAATTTTTATTATTCACTAATTATGTATTTATACAAAAGTTAAGGAAATTTCATAAAAAATATATTGAATGAAATTAAATCATTTGAAACTGCATTTTAATTTGAAAATTAATGTTACAAATAAAGAATTATGAAGATATAAACTAAATATTAAAAATTATTTTTAATTAAAAAACCTATGATGGTTAAAATGACTTTTTTAATATAGCGAATATACAATATAAAAAAATATAAGTATGATAAATTTCTTTTCAATTTATTACTTAAATAAAGGAAATATAACGAGTACTTTTCAATTGTCTATCAAATTTGAAATTTTTTATAGACTATTTTTATTAATTTTATGATTAATACAATTTTAAATTATATTTTTGTAATATTAATAATAAATAATTGTATTCATTTCAAATCTTGTTATTTCGAAGTGCACTATTTTTTACATAATAATAATTATTTTTATCAATTACTAACATTGATTTTTAAAAATGTTATTAAAGAAGTTATCAGGTTTATGCTTTATAGTAGACACTTGATCAGTATACATATATTTATATATATATGTCTTCTTTTACAGGAGCCAATGACGACGATGTTCTTAGCTCTTCAAGGAGGAAAATTTGATCATCCTAATAGATTATTTTCGTCTGTGGCATTATCTTGGAAAAATTGTCAGCGTGATACTTCGGATGTCAAAGTGAGCTTTTGTAAAATTAATTAATAATGAAACTCTTGATTTTACAATAATATATTATTGAATAAAATTATTTTTTTTTATAGGAATTGATTCCAGAATTTTTCTTCTTACCAGAAATGCTAATCAATTCAAATCGTTATCGATTTGGACGACAGGAGGATGGTAGTTCTGTTGGTGATGTTCAATTGCCACCTTGGGCTTCATCACCTGAAGAATTTATTCGTGTTAATCGAATGGTACATCAATCGTTTTTATAATGAAGAAAATTTTATCGTTCAATTTATCGAAATAATATTTAATGATGTTACAAAAAATAAATATAATAAAATTAATAAATTATATCCGTACATATATATGTATATATATTTAAAAATCCTTATATTTTTTTAGGCTTTAGAATCTGAATTTGTTTCGTGTCAATTACATCAATGGATTGATCTTATTTTTGGATATAAACAAAAAGGTTGGTGGCTTAATTTCTATATTATTATATTTTTTATTTTTCGTATTATGTATTTAGTTTTTTAACTTATTTCAATAAAAATGTTTAATCGTATAATCTCATATACTTTGAATTTTATTATTCAAAATAATATTCGAATATTATTATTAATTAATAATTATTTATCTTTTATTATAAATATAATTATTTATTTATAATTGATAATTAATTATTTATGTATAAAATATGTATTAAGTGTAGAACAACAAAATGATTTCTTAAAATAAAAATTAACTTTTCTACTAAATAAATATTTCTTTTAAATGTTAATTTTAATATAATCCAACTGAATATACACAAATATTATGAAATAATTTAATAATCTTTGCAAAATTTCAACATTTAACGTTTATTATGGCAAAAACTGGTCTTGTCTCGTCAAATGTAATTTATAGCGATACTAATTACAAACGGCGCCTCTATATCCGTTCGTCTTCTTCGAAGATATGTCTTGCTTTTTTTGTATGTAGAATATATTAAATACGTATGCAAGAAGTTAGCTTTTCAAAACTGTATGTGTACATGCAGAGTCGATCCAAACCAATTAGGCATATGAGCCCCGACGTGGCAATTTTACTCATTCTTAATGCAATACTTCGCAGATCTTCTTCCATTTTATCTTTTTATCCTTTTTCTTCTTTCACTGACAGTGTGTATAAAGACGAATGGCGTAGCGGTAAATCCGTAGAGCTGTTATATCTGTCAACTGCTGTCTATCTGGAAATAGAGTCACTTACCGGAATATTCTTTGGACTTTATATACAACTCTATTTGGAGTTAAAATGTCTTGTTTCGTATTTTTTTAATAATTTTTTTTTATTATTTTTGTTTACTGGGAATTTCTTTATTATTCATATATTTCATAATTTATTGATTTATTCTGTTTTCATCACGATTGGAATGAATTAGAAGAGGAAAAGTTATTTAATGGAGTTAAAAAGAAAATGATGATAAAAATTCAACTAATTAACTGTCTGAGTGTATATAGTCTGGAATCTAACTTCAAGCTAATTTTTTTTCCATTTTAACGGCTTGTTTTTCATAATTCATTCTTACTTCATATTCATTTTTACTTTAATATAAGGTATTTAATTTTAAATATAGACAATTATTATATATAATTAATATTGAATTTAATTTAATGTAATTTTCTATGACTTAACACCACTTTTACCAACTATCCTTTTACGTTGAGTAATAAGTATTTAATAATTTCTGATTGTTCTAGTAATAAAACGTATTCCCTGTTTCATTTTGTTTTATTAAAATTATTTATTTTATTATAATTAAAATTGATCCTTAAAATTGAATGATATTTTATTAATTTGTTGATAATTTGATTAAATGATTTACCAAATCTATCGTAATGCACTTTTTCATTTTATTATTTTATTTGATTAGTTTGATTGTCAAACAAAATATTATTAAAAATAAAACAAATAAAACTATACGTAGGAGATCAGTATCGAATACTTAATTTCATTTTTTAAGGAACAAAATTATTATGATATTAAATAATTAAAAATTGAAAAATATTTTCTGTGAATAAATAAAAAGTAGCTAAAAATATCCAATAGTATTTTATTAGTTAAGGAAATATATTTTAATATCTGCGTTTCATGTTTATATCGTAACGTTTATGTTTCTATAATATTCAATGCTTAATTATTTTTCACTCGTCATATTAAGATTTTTCTAGTATTATATCAAATATGATAAATTTTTAAAAATATTTCAACAATATTATTCATTAATTTTATTATTAATTTTTTTAAATATTTAACATAATTCTATTCAACATAATACTATTCATTATGAAATTAAATTATTGTATTTATTGTAATACATTATTACAACAGTAACTTAATTAATATTGAAAACTTTCAAATTTCTCAAATTAAATGAAGATCTTAAATGCATATACAAATTAACACATGTACGCATATTAAAAACAATATTTTTATATAATTATGATTATTAGGACCAGAAGCGATACGTGCAACTAACGTATTTTACTATCTAACATATGAGGGCAGTGTCGACTTAGATTCGATTACAGATTCTGTAATGAAAGAAGCTATAGAGAATCAGATACGTAATTTTGGTCAAACGCCTTCCCAACTTCTTATGGAGCCACATCCACCAAGAAGCTCTGCTATGCATTTGGTAATAATAGATGATCATTTAAAATAAAAAAATTGGTTTAAGTTATTGGTGTAATTTATACTATTAACTTTTTTTATCTAGGAATAAACGATACATAAATTAATCCAATAAAATTCATTATAATATAATATAATTGATTTATTAAAGTTATATGTATTTTATTTTATTGAATATTAGAGTTTTAAAGTTGTTTATTATGTTTTTTAGTCTCCAATGATGTTTTCAAGTATTCCTGATGATATTTGTATGACGTTAAAGTTTCCATCAAATTCACCAATTTGCCACATTTCTGCTAATACTTACCCTCAATTACCTCTACCTTCTGTTGTAACTGTTACAACTGGCCAACAATTTGCTGTGAATCGATGGAACACAAATTATGCAGGTAATCAATCGTAATAATTCAATTTCATTTATTAATTTTATTTTGAACTTCATTATTTATTAATTATTCATTTGTATTATATAGCAACGGTTCAATCTCCAAGTTATGCTGATATACCGCAAGCACAAGCTGCGAATCAACCATTATCAATGGATCCTATTCTATGTGTGTTAAAATTTTAAATACTTCAAACAATCATTTTTAAAATTTACATAATTTTTATTAATATCTACAAAGTAATATGAAACCATTTTATTTAAGGAATTATTTATATCATAAATTAATTAAAATCAAACAAAAATAATTTTTTTTTATAATAATGAATTTCATTATAATTACTAACTACTATTGTTTAGCTCAAACAGTAAACAACTCAAATATTACAATGCGTCGACATCTCGGTGACAATTTTAGTCAAAAATTAAAAATCCGAAGCAATTGCTTTGTTACTACTGTCGATAGCCGATTTTTAATTGCTTGCGGTTTTTGGGATAACAGTTTTCGTGTTTTCTCTACTGAAACTGGTAAGTGACGCTAAATTATTTGATTTTGCTGTGTATTATAACTTTTTTTTATGATTTATATTTAATAACTAAATTAATATTACATTAAAATATAAAATATTAAATATTAATGTATAAGATGTATAAAATTTTATTATACGCGAATATCATTTCAATTTATTTCAATGAATATTTTTTGTCCTTATTATTCTTCTAATATTAATACACGCCCATATATACAATGAATAATTTTTACTCTAAATATAGAAAATAATATGTAAAAATTTCATCAACAATAAACCATTATATATAATTTCAATGCAATATATCAATACATTGTTATCAATACATTCAATATTCTATTAAATTTCAAAGAAATATATTGATAAATTGTTATTTTTAAATTTACCTAATATTAAATAACTTTTATCTTTTTACAATAACATTTTCTAACTTAGAGATATATTAATAAATTGCATTCTTTATTAACTAGGTGTCAATCTCTACAGACAGTCACCTCAATTTTGATTAAATTACTTGTAAAATGAATAAACTGTCACTAATTTCAATTATTTATCATTTATCATCAATTTTCAATTATAAAAACATTTTATTCATTTATTTAGGCAATAATTGATATGTATGCATTATATTTTAGCTAAAATCGTTCAAATTGTATTTGGTCATTATGGTGTGGTGACATGTTTATCGAGAAGCGAGTGTAATATTACATCGGATTGTTATATTGCTTCTGGCAGTGCCGATTGTACTGTTTTGCTTTGGCACTGGAATGCTCGAACACAGATGATCGTTGGCGAGAGTGAAGCGCCCGCACCTCGGGCTACGCTCACCGGACACGAACAGCCCGTTACAGCTGTTGTTATATCCGCCGAGCTCGGTCTCGTTGTTTCTGGATCTTTTTGTAAGTATATTTCTTTATTATAATCATATTCATGATTATTGATTGCCTGAACAATAATAAACATTATACTACTATTATACTTCTGAATATTCAAAATTCGAAAAGACAGATTTTATATTAGTTTTCATTAACTTGCGTAATTATCAATTGTATAAATTTTTATATAATTATTCTAATTTATAATCTATATTTTTAAGTATTGCTATTTAAAATTGATTGAAAATTTGTATAATAAGATTAGTTGCAAACAATTCTTCAAACTACATTGTTTTTTTACAAAATATACAAATAGTAGAGTTACATTATGTAAAAGTATATTCGCATTGTAAGTAAAGGATTTATGAAGTATAAATGTATTGAAATATTTGAGAACATTAAAAGTAACAAATAATTACTCTGGCGTTCCCATAATATTTCGGAATGTTGAACACAAGATTAATGTTAGTAAATTAATTACAATTGGATCAGTATTTTATAATTAATTAATGGCTTGATATGTACTGATATCTTTATGATGAAATTAATAATAATTTTTACAAATTTTAAATTAGTTTTCAATGAATCAAAATAAAATTATATACTTTATTGTTTTACTATGATAAAAAAATATTAAAATCATGGCAATATTAAATATGATAATATCAATTATATATTCTCACTGTATTATGAATAAATTTCTATTAATTTAAATTTATTTAAAATTTTTAATTTTATTATTAATTTTATTTTAAAAAATTTTAATTTAAACGTAAACATTCAACTAAATTTATAATTCATTTACAATTAAGTTTTTTAATAATTTATAATTGTGGTTAATGATATAATACATTATTTTTTATTTTTATTATTATTTATTTTATGTATTTCTTGCAAATATTATAAGAAAATTTATAATAGCATCATGCATACCATTAAAAAAATTAGCTAAATTAATATTTTTTTAGGTGGACCGGTTTTGGTGCATACAACATTTGGTGACTTGTTGAGATCTTTGGAGCCTCCAAGTGGTTTTTCATCGCCAGAAAATATTGCCATGTCAAGAGAAGGGGTTATTGTTACCAATTATGAACGTGGACATATAGCCGCCTTTACAATTAATGGAAAACGTCTTCGTTATGAATCACATAATGATAATCTTCAGGTAACGATATTTAGGAAATATAATCATATAATTTTTGCAAATAAATAAACTTAATATATTAAAATTTCAATCGGTATGTCAAAATGTATATTTGTAAATAATATGAAATTAATAACTTTAGTGTCTATTATTGAGTCGAGATGGCGAGTACTTAATGACTGGAGGTGACAAAGGGATAGTTGAAGTCTGGCGCACCTTTAATTTGGCGCTTTTGTATGCATTTCCTACGTGCGAAAGTAGCGTGCGGTCTTTAGCTCTTTCTCATGATCAACGGTAAGTATATAATATTTCAGTAAATATCTGATCAATTATAACTAGAATTATATATCATGATTTTTGTTTGTTTGTTTATCTGATAATTATCTTAATATGTTTGCCATAAATAAAGTAATTAAAAAATTCATGACGTTTAATGCTTTTAAAGTAATGATTTGGCTTTATTGTATATTAAAACGAAAAAATAATAATATTCGATTATATAAATAGTTTAATATTTCTAATTATTATATATTATTAATTTCAGTTTTTTACTTGCCGGTCTTGCGAATGGTTCAATAGTTATTTTTCACATTGACTTCAATCGATGGCATCATGAATTTCAACAACGTTATTGAAATTTCATCTTTGAGTTTACAAAGAAAAGAAGTGTCAAAAAACGTAAAACTTTCAATGGATAAAGTTTTATTCACTAAAAGGAGTGTTCATCAATTTAAAGCATAAATTAAAAATAAGAACTTTTATTGCAATATACGTAGTTATTCATGTGTAAATTAGTACCTCAAAAATAAATAGGGAACCTTGACAGAAGCTTATTTTAATGGAAAAAATGCCAACATGTCAAAATCTGCATATTCTAGAAATATAAGTCCAAATAAGGCCAAATAATAAAAAATATATACAAAAATAAGATATCACAACTGTTACGAACATCACATCGAGAAGTAAAATCTTTTTCTCTGTTAAAATACACGAGTGGAAACAAAGCGCTAGTCAATTATAGAGATTTTTTATATCTCCTTATCTTACCAATAAAAATTGAAAAAATAAAACGTGAAAAAAGCTTACTACATACAATCTGGAATGAAAAAAAATACATATTATATTGTTAATTCACGAATACACCAAGAAGATGCCAAACTCGTAATGTAACATTATTTTTATGCTACGAGGTAGACGTGAGTTTGGTTTTAGCAAATTTTATGTAAATACTATATACTATAGATAGATAATATAAATAGTATATAATATATATCTTCATGTTATGCGTCGTAAAAATACTAAGGTAATAAGCACTAGATATTTCTGCGCTAACATGACAATGCCGACGATTATATTTGATCATTTACAGTGATCCATCAGACAGACGTAGATAATAAAAATAAATATTTTATAATGAATTAGTAAATCGCTAATGTTAAAAAACAAATACTATAAAAATAACTCTTCCGGCGTTAATTTATCTTCGCATAATATAATAATGGAAGTTAAATCATAGAACGAAAATGTTAAAAAGCGTAAATTTTTTAATGGTATTTAAAGAATTTTGTGCAATTTATTAAAAATTATACATATAATTTTTAAATGCAATACAAAGATTCTCATTACTTATTAGAATTTTGATACCTTTACTTTCTGATATAAAAATTAAAATAAATATTAACGTAGCTAATATCTGAAGAGCACTTTTATTGTAGTAATTGTAAAATTTTATAATTCACTAATTATAAAATTAACTAATTATCCATGGTAGCTGGTTATAAATCAGTGGTAATCGTATATAACAAATACCTTACATTCAAAAACACTTACATTTTTTATTAATGAAATTGTAATGTAAGGCATCGGATACAATATGCTCCTTTTCTCAACACAAATTGAAATTTGCGTCCCTCGTAAAGATCCTAATTTTATCAGTGCCGTCCATCTTAGCTTTGTGAGAATATTTTATATTTTCACATGAGGAAAGATAAGAAAAAAATAATAATCAAGATAATACGAAATTTAAATTTAAGATATTTTAAATGCAAGCTTATTAATGATATCAGTCTTTGACGATAATTTATTGTCTTATTGTGGGAAATAATAAAAAGTGAGTAACAAATAGTATATATAAATAAAACAAAAGATATGACGAAAAACAAATATAAATCATCTTATCGTATTTATTTTATTTTCAATACTAATAATAAATAATAAATTTCAAGTGTAATCAGATCTTTCATAGTTAAATAAATACATGTAAATTAGTCATTTTCAAAATGTTTACATTATGAAATTGTTTGATGTTTTATACATTTCAGTTTGTGTAGAATTTATCATAAATTACATTAAATTATTCTATTCAATTACTAGATATTATATTTAATTTAATATTTTTTCTTTGGTGATTTTATTTTGTAAATAAATGTAATTTTAATCGTAAAATAATATTCTTAAAAAAATTATGATTAAACAGATTTTATTAATAAATTAACAAAGTATTATACAAGTTTTATTACTTTTATTTATTAAAATAATTGTTATTTATCGGTATACAAACACTTTCTATGATTATAGTGTTTTCTAGAACTAATATTTGAAAAATAAAGATTGATTTTGCATTTGTTTACTTAATATAAAAAAAGAGAAATTACCTATACAGATTCGGTAACAATAAATGTGAAACACTAATAAAAATAACAATATTTATCAAATTTTAAAATAATATATATAATAATTTTGATAAATATAAATACGAAATCTATAATTTACCAGCGAAATATGGTAATTGTGATTGCAATACCATATAAAGCAGATTAACAAACAGATTGCAATAATATTATTTTATTCATTTGTAAACTGAGTAATATTACAAGCAACAAAATTTACAAACATATCTTTATAATGCATCTTTCTTAATGTGAAAAATTTGATTCCTTTACTTGGCAAATTTCTTCATGTAAATGTTAAAAAAAAATTATTCACACTATTTAATAATCTAATACTGCACCACTTTTATATGAGATGCAATAGTCTGTAATTCTCTCGATATAAGATATTATAAGTATATTGCAAGTAAAACTAAAAATAAGGTAGTATTCCAAAACTGTAAAGTGGAAGTGTATTACATTCATTCGCATTATGTGTATCTCATTATAATGTATACATTAACACATTAATTATATATGCACAGTGGCGATTTTTGCTTAATGAAAATATAAGTTATCGATTGATTTTGCATTTATTTATATATTTAAATAATACAAATTTTTTATTAAATACAATTGTTTATTAAAATGAATAAGATTAAAGGAGGAAGAAAAACAAATAATTATACAAAAACATTAAATTATGAAAAATTGAAAAGATATAATTACGTTCGACCCAATTTTTTTATATATATTTTTGGGTTTACTAATGGTTTCAATTTAAATGCTATAATTATTAAATTAATGAATTCAATTTAAATTAATCTTTATTTTAATGTCTGCAAAAAATATGTAATAAGATATAATTATTTATAAGTAGAAAAAATTATGAATAAGAAGGATAAAAAAATAAAAATTATCATAATATTGATTATTTCTTGATAAATAATTGAACTCTTAACTATTGTTAACAGTTACACCACACATATATAAATATTAGACAACTCTTGGACATAAAGCAACCATTTGTATAATTTTAGTGATTAAGCACATTTTTATGTTTACATGTAACTTAATTTTAGTTATTATTATTTGTTTTTACTTATTGAAAGCGTAATAGACAATTTGTATAAAGTTTGAACGAGTATGTTAAATATAATAAATTAAGATAATCCTGTAAATCCATGGGTAATCAAAAAGTTAACCAATAAAAAATCTTTAATGTTTTATAAGTGTGACTGTAACATTATAAAGACAAATTAACTAATTTCAAAATTTATATCAATTAATTCTGTGATGTTAAGTCAAACTAATTTTATCATAAATTAAATTGTGAAAAAAGGTAAAATTAGCTTTGAGAATCTTGAAATTTCAAATATCAAAAGATCACTTTTATATAAAATATATTAATGCAATATACATTATATTTATATTTATTATAATGATATTATTAAAACCAATATGCAATTGTTTAAAGCGTTACAAATTGAAAGGCCATTACATACTAAATGCTGTTATTTTATAATATAGCATAAATATATGTTGGTTTTTCTATCGTATTATTGTAAAAGAATATAAATAATCTTAAATTAAATTAAAAATCTAACTCCTACCAATTACGTTGAAGAAAAATGAAATTAAACAGACAGAGTAAACAGTTATTTCTGCCACTTTTACAGATTATCATTAATTAAGAAAACTATTTAAATCATTGTACATAATTAAACGCTATTGCTTATTTTATATTAAGAAATAGCATAAATTTATAATGAGCAAATAATATAATATAATGGAATAGATTCACAAACAAATATACAAACTCAAACTTTAATTCAGATTATAAGGTAGAATAATCTGTAAAAAGTAACTAATTGAATAAATCAAAAGTACATTTGATGTTGCAGCACAATATTGTGTTTCTTTTCTTTTTACCTTATTTTTATAAACAGATTAACATTTACGAATTTGTATAGTTGTTTTATTTCTTTAAAAATAAGGTAACTATTTAATAACACAAATAAAAAAGTTTTGAAGCAATTAAGTTAATTCTGATCAATGCTTTATTGGATAATAAAACTGAAAATGAAAACAAACAATATTTTTTATTAGCGCTTCAAACATAAATGTATAAACTATAAATATTAATAGAATTTTTTATAATGTCTATATATATTCTTGTGTGGGATAGGTATTCTTAAATTCTTTCCATCTCCAGTAAGTGTATCACCAGGAAAAACTTTTTGATAGCATAGCATACACAACAAAATATTGTTATCCTAGAAGAAGGAAAAAATAAATATACATAGAATTTGGTAAGTCTGGTGCACATCAAGGTGCTTTTGAAGTTCTTTTCATGACTGAAAAATAATTGTTTTTATTAATCCTCTTTTTACATTTCAAGTTACAAGGCCACAAGACAAATGTGTACATTCCTTATATACCTCATGTACATGAGTATGCTCATAAAAATTAAATTTTAAAAAGTTGTAAGAATTATAATAAAATATTGCAATTATAATTCTCTTACTTTTAGAATTTTTTAAATCAATGATCAATTTTTGTTTATCACATACATAACAAATATTTATTGTATTAGATATAAAATTCTATTTTTTCTAACCTTAATATTTAGTTTACTAGCAGATTATTATGATTCTTATAATGAATCTTTTTTTTTATTATTTATTTTATTATTTTTATATAAATACTATTAATTATTAATTAGATTCAAGGCTTTTTTTGTTCATTGAATTAAGTTTAAAATATGTTTCAATTAAAAAGTGTTTTTCCATAATTATGTAATTTATAAAAGTTTAAATTCAAATTAAGACATCAGAAGTGATTAAAAATGAATTTTCTTCTAATTCATTAATCAATATTACGTAGAAAATTAAAAAATTATTTTCATTAATTGAATGAAATGATATACATATTATCAGACGAAAATGCTCAGTTAGCGCTCTGAAAACAATTTTATAATATACTATTAATATCTTAAATAATTTTGACTATTTTCAAAGAATTTTGGCTGATGATTGAAAATTTCATATTAATGTACTTAAATACGACTGCAAATGACTAAAACATACAGTTTGACGTTTAAAAATGTTTCCATATTAGTTATGAGCATTTTAATAAAAATGTATTTCTAGTTTTACGAAAACAATGGAAAGTATAGCATAAATTATTTATTATTTCTGTTGCACCATTGGTCATTTCTATATATCCCATTTTCTTTGAATTATACAGCTTCATTTTTATTTACCAAAAATTTCATTCACATCATTAATGGTTATTAACCATCATGCATAATTAATACATCATTTATTTATAATGTTAAAAGATAATCAAATGAATTATAATAAGTCTAATAAGATACATTTCTTATTTGCATTTTATTAGAATCCGTTTTATTCTCATAATTTAAAATTTTATAATGCATTCAATACATTTCTTTTGTATCACAAATCATTTATCTACAAATCTTGTAGTAAAACGATAACAAAATCAAATACTATTATTTGTTGCTCTATATATATTAAGGCTAATTTTTTGTTTAACTTAAATTTGTTTTTTTCAATAGGATATTTCAGTTTGCTTATTTTATATGCATGTATACATATATATTTTAAGTTCAATTTTTATTTTATTATATACAATGTTTTAATATAAAGAATCATTGTATTTGTCAGAAGAAGAAAATAAATATTAAATACTCTTTTATTTAAGAAACATTGTTTAATCAGCAAACTAATCATAAAATTATAATTTATAATGCATTACAAATGGTTTTCAACCATTTTATATAGGTCTGATTATCTTTTGTAAACTATTAGTTTTATATTTATTTTATGAATTTTTTTTAATATTTCATATATTCAATATATATCATATATTTATTTCTGTCAATTCTTTAAAAATAATACCATCTAATTGTTAAATTGTATTAAAGTAAGCACGTAATGGTTGTATACTTTTCTTAACATTCTATATTCATATTTTCTTATACTTGTAAATTTTAAACTTCCATTACGCTTAATTTTCATACTATATTATTCTATAAAAAATTTATTTTCACAAATTTTAATAGAATTCTAACATTCTATAAATAATCTAAATACCTTTTTACTATTTTACTCATAATATTTTATTTTTAATCCAAATATTATTTTACATTATTATTTTATATTACATCATTAGTATTTATTTTATATAAAATTATTTTTTTATAAATAATATATTTTAAATAATATTTTGTATCATATTATCCCTTCTCCCCAGATTCTTCATTTAATTATTTAAATATTATTATAAGCTTGCTTTGAATTTCTATTTTTTTATCACAATTAATTTATTTTTATTGAATATTATCTAGAATTTTGATAATAATAAATTTAACGATCATAGAGAACATGATTTACTAATATATATGTATTTATTTTGTTTTTTTAGGATAGATTAAAATTAAATTCGTGAGATAAATTCAAATTATTACAATTAAGTGCTTGATCGTTGAATTAAATAAAATTCATATGTCAATTTATTAACTTTATATTTGGTTTTTCATGTTTTTTATATTTATTTTAAAATCAAAAAATTGTATATATAACACGTACGAAAATATTAACAAGAAAGAAAATTTTTAATAGTATTATTCGTAAGAAAAAAGTCACATGCAATAATGGCATTGGTAATTTAATAATTTTTTTAAAATTATTTTTCTTAATATTTAACATCACTTAATAAATATTTGTAGTTTATAGCATCATTAAAAGAGAACTTTTATAGGCAATAAATGAGAAATATTTTTAGGCTGCATTAATTGCGAAAATTCGTCTATCGTGTTTAACATGTTTAAGAATTTTAAGATTGTAAAATACTGAAATGATTTACTTTATTTAATATTGTGTTATCTAATATAAAAAGATTTAATCAAGGTACAATGAAATTACATTAAATCTTTTTACATCATTTACTCATATATTTTTTTAAGAATCTTTTCAGAATTATTATTTCAATTAATTTTTTGCAAGAGCTTAAATAGTCATCAATATTAAATTATGATAATAATAATTATTTTCTTTAAAGTTATATTTGTAAATCATTTTAATATCAGATATTTGTTTTGTTTAAAGATTTTAATTGATAGTTATCAATTTAGGTTTATTGTTGTATTTGTTAATTTGTTAGGTTAACAATAGATTTATATTCAAATTTATAAATCAGATATATGGTGAATTACAGAGAAGTAACTCCTCGAGGACTAATGTCATTACCTATTCTTATATCGTGGCTCTATGATACACTTTATATATCCGTTTTATTTTATTTCAATTTAATTTATTATAAATTAAATTATATTATAAATTATATATTATATATTATATATTATATATATATATATTATATTATTTTAAATTAAATATGATAAATTTATTACATTCTATCTTTGGATAGTAAATCCATCCGATCCGTACCTACCGATATCATAAAAAAAATTATGTTATGACAGAAGGTTCAGTAGAAATCATCTACAAATAGTACCCAAAATTGGTATAGTAGATATGTAACCTGACCTGTACATATATTATTTTACACGTTGTTTCAGCTTGAATTGTGTTCTAACTTGTAACAACGGCACATTACGATACGTTTGTATATTACATTTCACTACATATATCTATAACGATACGTTTGTATATTACATTTCACTACATATGTCTGTATTATGACATATGTAAGCCATATGTTAAAAAGATTATTTCATTAAAATGGTTCCAGCATTAATTAATAGCATTTATAATTCTAAAATTGTCAACTTAAGTAATTGAATGTGTTTGTCTAGTAAAAGATCGTATTGTGATGTCAATTTTAAATATACCAATGAAATATATTATTGTGCTAATCTCAGGTTAACACAGGAATATTCTTGCCTCCTTTTAATCGCTCACATCTTATTGAAAATGGTTTATATGATTATATAAAGATATTCATTTGAATATTAGAATACGATATAATTCGAAAAATTAAATAAGAAAAGCTGACTTTGATTTTATTTTTATATCTGATATTTTATTATAAATATTGTTATAATCTTAAATTAGTAATCAAATAAATTTTGGAATTAACGAATTTTAAATATTATGGATGTAATTTTATTAGCTTATCCATAAAATGAATAACAGGTTTTTTAATTAACAGATTATATAATATAAGCACAAAATCTATTAATTTTTAATAGATAAACTGAAGATAATTTACTAGTAGTACAATATGATAGAAATATATAAAGGTAGTTTATCATAAAATACTACATTAGTAAGTTTTATTACATATTTCATACTACATACTTAATGTATTTTCAATAAAATAAAGATAATAATTAACACTTATATGATAGTTTGCTTTATTTTCATTAAAACTACCATTTAAGCTTGGATAATTTCCCACATTAATACCTAAAATAATATTTCTATAAAAAAGCGGACCGCCACTATCACCCTGAAAAAAAAAGAATTTTTAAAACTTTATATTAGATATTTTTTTAATTTTTATTATAATCTTTTAAATTGATTGAAAATATCTTGACATTTCTTTTAGTGTATCTTCAGCAATTTTAATTTTTATTCAAAGATTTTATATTTCTGTGGATGCAAACACTAACAGATATGTAATGTCATTGTAGAGTGAATAAAGCCATGCATTCAATGTACAGGCAATCTATTAATCAAATAATTAAAAAATAAATAAATATATAATAATTTAAATTTCCTAATTATTTAGTAACTTATTTCAAATTTAACATCTACTATGCAGATATTTTAAGTGTTAAATAAAAATTTAATTAACAATAACAAACATTAGTGTTTTTTTATTAATTATTAATTATTTTATGGTTTTTTTAGGTAAGGTAACAAGACAATTATATTACAGAGAGTAATCAACTTAATAATGTTAATATTTGACAAGCTTGTAGACAATATTTTGAATGGAATAAATTAATGCTTTAAAATTTAAAAACTTCAGATACATACTTAACTTATACACTATCACTTTCTTAATAATTAATAATACCTAGTTATATTCGTAGTGTACATTCAGTACAATTCTAAAAAAAATTATCTGTTTATTTGAATCTAATTAGTATTAATGTGTGATAAGAAACAAAAAGTGGTAAATATAGTTTGAGTTGTATTTAAGAAAATTCTGAATTACTGTCACTTTATTTTCTTTTTATTTTTTAGATATTGACAAATCAATAAAGAGTTCAATTGATGAAATTAAAATTGCAATAAATTGAACAAAATCTTAATTTATATTGATTAAAAATAAATATAGAATAATTAATAAAAGAAAATTTTCAAAATTGACTTTTAATGGTTCATAATTAATAATAATTAATATATTTGTATTTTACTGTTTTTTTTATTGTATTTCAAAATAATTTATTCTAGAAAATAAAATATGTATAATATTATAACTTACACTACTTAAAAGTGTGTATGGATTTGCTATAGTACAGAGGTATCTTTCCTCAATAATCTCACGATGTCCTAAGAGTCTCATAGCTATTGCTTCACATTCTATTTTTTTTATGATTTTTAATTTAGCAGTTTGTATTATTTGCGGAGAAACATTATCATTAGATAAACCACAGCCTGCTACTTGAACTTTTAATCTATACATTCTAATATTTGGTGTGATTGAAAGAGTTGCCGGTATAATTTGATTACGTGTAGTTCGCAATAACTGAAAAATTTAGCTTTTTAGCTTTTTACATAAACTATAAAGTAAGACGCAGCCTTAACGAATATAAAAAATGTTTTTGTCTTATGTTACGGGTGCAAATAAATTACTTGACTTAGATATGAAAATAATTTTTAAAATAAAGTTTACTTTTGCTACTGCAATATCATTCGATGGAAATTCCATATGCAGTCTCATTTGCGTAGTCCATTGATTATATGTTATCCACCACATTATATAATATTTTGTTCCAGCTGATATAATAATAGATCCTAAAATTACATTAATACTCGATTGTTGAACATTATAAAAGCAATGGGCAGCTGTCAAAATGTGCTCGTTTGAAATGAGTGTTCCAGTACAAATAATATTTCTATCATCAAACAAAGTCTGATTACTTGTTATACAAGCGACGGATGAAAATTCTGGTTCTGTTGCATTTAGTATATTATGGCCGATTAATGCATTTAAGTTGACAAATTTATAGAAAATATCTAAATAATAAAATTTATTTTGCATATAATTAATATAATTAATATAAGTTTATAAGCTATTTTTAAAATTTACATAAAATAATACAACACATGTTGCCATTATTGATAATTTAACTTTATAATTACTTACAAAATATTATAACTTGAAAATTAGACAGTTTTACGTAACTGCGCATGTTAAAATGAAAAATAATATAAATTCTATCAGTTCATCGAACATACTAATTTTATTTTCTTTTTTGAAAATGTAAGGAATGAAAAATATTATTATAATGTAAAAAATTAATTGTTATTTATCACACTTTTATCTATAATAATAAAAAGATTATGAAATGTTTATGCAAATATTAATTACTTTGCAATGAACCTGTATAATGTATGTGTAATGTATGTATTTAACCCATGATATGGAAAAATGATGACATATGTTAAAATTGCTGTCAATTGTTATATTTTAAAGAAATACAATCAAAATATATTAATTCTTTGTATAAATTTTAAATATTCTCAATCAAAATTAATTATGTAAAAACTATTTACAGTGTAACTGAAATTTAAATTATAAGAAAAATAATTAAATTTCATTCACTTTAATAGAAATTGATATAGAAAATATGCAAAGTTATATTTTTAATTAGCTATGAAGTTCACATTACAAATTAAAAAAATCTACTTATAAAATACTTCAAAAATTATAACTGATTTAAATTACAAATTTAATTCGATGTAATTTAATTTAAGTTGTTTTAATTTTTAGTTTATAAAATTCGTATTTATTAAACATAAAAATCTTATTGCTATTAATGTTCTATTATTCTTGAGTAGTAATCAAATTACTAAAAAAATAATACTTGTTACAGTCCAATCTTAATTACATAATAAATATTCTAAAATATATTTGTCCACGTATTTGTTTTTGTATAAATTTTAAATCTTTAATTGCAATTGTAAATTCTATTAATATATTTTGTATTTTAAAAGCAGTAATTTTGAAAAATATTTACTTAATATAAAGATTCATATATATATATATATGTGTATTTGGTATACTATGTTATTAGACGAGCATATTTTATTTTTATGCCTATTGGTTATTTGGAATGTCGCATGAATTGTTATAAAAAATTATTCTTATTTATAGAAATTGAGAAATTTTTTTTCATTTATAGTTCAATATATGAAAAGTAATCAAAACATCAAATATATAAATTTGGTTACAGGCTGTGTTTACAATTATATATATTTCCTAATATCAAGCCGTATAAATTACAAAATGAATATATAAATTATTAATTTATTATTCTACTCTTGTTAATGATAAAACTACATCAATAACTTATAATAAATACTCAAACATTTTATTTCTTTATTTTCATTCTTTTTTAAAAAACGTATATAAGCATAGCAATATAAAATGGGTTATAAATGATATAAAGAATAATATATATGTATATTAATTTGTGAATGAATTAATTTTTATAGCAGTTTGAATTGGAAGAAATTTTATTTATGTATATCAATTTCGCCTATGTACTGATATATGTTCAATTTGCATAAGCAAATAGCAGATTTTCCATAGAATAGAATTATTTTTCACTTCATTTGCGTAGACAACAGTATTTTGTTTTTCGTTGTACTTTTCTAGATTCAATCGTTTACATTCCAAATTTATGATAATTATCGTAATCTAAAACTTTATTTCACCTTCATTTCTCATGGGATTTTTATAGTAGTTTTAATCATTTGTGATTATAAACAAACTTACCTTATTATTATTAATAAAATGCTTCCTACGTCCTAATCATCTCTCTAAACGACTACATTCATCAATTAATTTTAATGCATACATTATTTATGCATGTACGTATTTATTTATTTATATATTTATTATTTTTAATACAATTATATTTTAATTACAATTGTATCACATTGTAAATTAGCACATTATAAATTAACAATTGTAAATTTATAAAAATATTCTATTAAAAAACTCATGATAAAATATTTAATATTTTGAGATAAATTTAGTATAAATTTTATAATTCAGATTTATGTAACTTAAATTTATTCGGTGTAAATCCACATACTCCGAGTCCCCGTACAGCAAAAACACAGCCACTGAATGGTTTTGATTTTTTTTCTTCCAGGCTTATATCTGCGCTTGCTGTAGTTATATATAAAATATCTAGAAATAATCCACCAAAGGCTACGCTTGTTACTCGTTGTGATGGAATTTCAATTGTTCGTAGTAATTTTCCGTGTCTAGGATCTATATTTAATACCTAAAAAGTAGGTATTTTTATACATATATGTTTGTAGATCCTATATATATGAATTTTTTATGTAAATACTTACACGACCTGCTCCATAATTAGCTACCCAAAGATTATTATCTTTATCGATAGTCATTCCATCTGGTACACCAGTTAAATTGTAGGCATCAAAATCAAATACAATTCTTGGATTTGCTATATTATAATTTTAAATATAAAATATAATAATTATGAAATTTAAATTAAATATAGTATATATATATATATATATATATATATATATATATATATATATATATATATATTGTTAATTAATAATATAATTAAATATATGTAATAAATCATAAGATATCATATAGTATAAATAAATAATAAAGAAATTTAAAAATAATATTAAGTAAGAATTAATAATTTTCAAAATTATTAATTATTTTTTTTAATGAAATTAATAAATTAAATTTGATTATAAATATGTACAACATTTTATGCAAATTACTTTAAAACAATTCTTGGTACATTGTATTATCATATCAGTAAAATGAACAATTTTTCAGAGTGATGAATGGATGTAATGTATTTCTAGTTCTTAATATATTGACATTTAATAAATATTTATTCTTTTCTCGCTGTAAGCTTATATTTTTATTTCATATTAAGCATATTTTTGTACATTTCACACATCATTCTTGCTGATGTGTTATTTTCTGTTCAAAGGAATAATGAAGATTTGCAGAAGTAATAAAAAAAAATAATAAAAAATAATTTTAATTGTGTAAGAGTAGTCAAATATGAAAACTTCAAATGTAAACAAGAAAGATACTAGTGTCATAGTCATTTTATCTTTCAAAGATTATTATTACTATTATTATTACGACTAGTAACTCGAGATACGCAATATAATTATATGTTGCATATATATTGTAATTTTTTAGATTCTACAATTTTTGTGTCATTTTTCACTCATTCATTATATTATCAAATTTAATATCACTATGTGGCAACATATACCGTTTATAAGTTTATAAAAATATGTTATAATATGTGTATAATAATAATATGTGAAAATAGATACAATTTTTAGGAGTATGGATTATAAGTATTTTTTCCTAATCTGATAATAAATAATACGATAAGATTTTATACGTTATAATTTATTGGTGCAATTTCACTCATCATAAACGATACTGAATCGAATGAATTTTAATTTTAAAAGATTTAAAAATATTATCTCATAAATTTATTCTAAATAATGCTGAAGATATTTCAAATTATCTTATGACGAATTATTTAATTACCTGAAGAAAGTCCAGCTTAAAAGTATTTTTATATTATTTAAAAAATAAATTGAAATATATTACTAATTATTAAAATGGTATAATCATAAGAATTAAAACGCACATTTAAATTATTTCATATATAAACTTCGATTATTTAATAAAAATTATTCAAAAAATTTTGTAGTTTTAAGAAAATACCTAATAAATCAATAAGATTGTGTTGGGTGAAGAGTTAAAATAATATGGTAAATTAATTAATAATGAAAAGATTAAAAAAATACCATTAATATAAGTTAATATGATAAAGGTGTAAATAAAATATAACATATTTAATTAATTGAAACTTACATATAGTTCCATTATATATATCGTATTCAAATGCTGTTATTTTTCGTGTAGGTGAATCTATATAATACATTATATTGTACTCAATATTCCATGCTATTCCATTACTTATTGAAACTGGTGATAAATGTTTTTTTGGAACAAGGTGTTGATCGATACTATATAAAGATCCACGATTGGGCGTAACTTGAGAATTTATTTCCTTTCCCATTGTTCCTAGAAAATAAACACTTTGATTAAACTGGGTTTTATTCAATGTATTAAAATATTTTGTTCACAACTGAGAAAATATTAATTTGATCAATATAAATAGAAGAAATATTAATCTGTAAACAATTCTAAGGAATAATTTTTAAATTTATATAAATATTTTAATGGTAGTTACTACTGTGATTAGAATAATACACTCGCTTAAGGTATGGATTTTTAAAGAGAGCGAGAGTAGTAAATCCAATAATGAACAATACACAAATATTTGTCAAATTTATTTTTAATGACATAACATTAATGAGAGCCTAAATACCTGAAATAACATAAATACCTTTGGAAGCTTTTATTATATCCTAAATAGATCGAGATAGGCATACTACAAGCTATGATGGCTTAACCTTTTATGTTTTATTCTAGTTCTTGTGTAACATAGTTATTAAAACATTATTTGTTTACTAAATATTTTTTGGGCACATAAATGAAATCAATGTAAATCAAATATATTAATTACGATAATTTTATAAATTAGCAGCAGATTTAATATAATAAGAAATTGTATTAATTTGAGAGAATTTTATGGATAATATAATACTAATAGACTTATAAACTAGAAACTTTACAAATTTTTAATTTTAGCTTTGCTTTATATTTCGTTTAATAATACCACCCTTTATTTGTACTTCATTATTTTTATATTATTGTTCGATTATTAAGAGTTTGTTTTATGGCTCGGACTGCCAATTCAATAGTTCAGTGAATTAGTCTCTCGTCATGATGACTGATAAGGAAACAACGGGTGAAAGGGATGAAATTAAGTACAGTATATTATTATTGTGTTAAGATATTGTTTATTGTTGTTGTCATTTATTATAATATTGCAGTTTTGATTGCTCCAGGTGAGAGAAGGGAAATTATTCTATTACTGTGGTGAGGTTATTTCTTCACGGTGATGGTGATGTCGTTAATGCTATGGAGATTACTGTGGATCTTGAATGTCGGTTTCGTGCTGATGTCGTAAGGATCAGCACGTGTAGTCGATCATGCTCATGAATGAGCATGAGAAGATGGTGGTTGAAATCAAGTATGCTTGGTAGAAAGAATGATCATTCTCAGTAGAGTGTAAAAAAGTCTTGATGGAAATTGCTACGTAATCAATTATGCCTCTAGTTATGATGGGAGCAGTTGAAAAGTAGTCACACACAAGAATCATAAATGACAAGCCTTCGAGCTTTGAAGGAATTGATGAAAATGTATTTATAGTCGATTGTTCTATAAACTATTGTCTAGCCTTGAGAATGTAATTGACGTATTACGTCACTTGTGTCGACTGTTTGAGGGTCTGTACGGTGTTCGAGAGAGCGTACTCTTTGCCAATCGACTCATTCAAGAGAAGTTTTCTTAAAATAGATTTGCGCATGTGCCACTAGCTTAATTAAAGATAATATAAAGAGATATACCTTGTAAATTACCGACAAGGTATGTTAATTTGCTGCATGGCTGGTGTGCCCATTTTTTATTACGATTCCATTGGTTTTACTGTTAAATCACTAGCGGATCTTGCTAACTCTTTTTAATATGCACATGTATCTTTAGATTGGCTGCCGAACATGCGGCCACGTGTTGATGTCGCAGTATATACTAAATGACACCGAGTGGTAATTACACTTGAGTGAGCGCGAGGTAGAATTACAATGAGCCTATAAGCCTTTTGAATACGCGCGCGAAGCCGAAGGCTTGATCGTTCCGTGACGGCTCTGCTGAAGATACTGACCGATCCATGGCGGTTCTGCTGAGGGCAGACCGAGACCCGTGCCATGACTTCTACTGGTAGAGGGTTAGATCGGTTCACTATGGTCGGTTCACTGCGGTCAGGTTACGGCAAGATGTTAGCTGCAAGCGCAATTCAGCGAAAGTGGTTCGGCAAGAGATGTTTAGCAAGAGAGCTCTTTAGCAAGAAAGCCAGGCGCGCCGCGTGCCTGCCTTGCATATCCACGTGGTGACTCACTTATCTGGCAATAAGGCATCGTTGTTGCTGCACTGGAATATTACATGAGGCGCAGAAAGAAAAATCTAGATATTTCGAGAATTCGACGTAAGAAAAAATAAGGCGTAATAACTTTAGAGAATTCCGGGCGATGTTATTACCTGAAGACCATATAAACATTGCGGGTCATTTAAAACCAAAACATAACAAGAATTAAAAAATTCTCGTCCAGAGTATTTACACAAATCTGAGATCTAAAGGGCTGGCAATGCCGACAATCGGCGGTCTTGGAACTGGCTTCAACCTCGAACAATTATTTACTAACCTTTTTTTACCACGAATTAAGATTCTTTATATAATAAATTTTTGTTTTATTTATATTTGTTTGTAATTGGTTATTTATTGAAATAAAAAAAAAATTGTAAAAAATGTGTTATGTAATTATATTTGAAATATTTTAATGTTAGTTGAATATTATTCTTCCACTAAATTCGTATAAAAATTAAAGTTTGTAATAAATGCATATGTTATGTTTGTATATAAACGTGATCCAAAAAAATTACTGGAAAATATAAACATTTTAAAATATCAGAAAACTTTCAAACTTTTAGAATAGCTGAGAATACTAAATAGATCATTAAATAGGTAACCATTAAAGTATAATATAATAGTTATAAGAAAGATCCAACAATTTTGAAAATAATGAAAAAAAATTTGTATAATTAGAATTCTACATGACATTTTAAAGTATAAAACCAATATGTTAATGCCAGGAAGTCAGCAGAAGATTTATATAATCCATATATATAACGAGATACACAAGTTAAAATTCAAGCAATCTATTAACAGTATTGACGATCGTACAATGAAAGTATAAAACAAATAATTTACTATAACTACGAAGTATCTTATCTTATATGCAAGGGGAAAACAAAAATTTGTTCCTGTCATTCTGTTCGGAATTTAACCATTAATCAAGGTCGCTCTCAAGTTACGAGACCTCTGCATGGCGGGCGGTTTTCCCTTGGCAAAATGGTATGTAACGAACCAAGATGGTAACATCGCAATAAACACGGATCATAATCTGACCACCTCAATTACGTTCGACGATTGGTTTACCAAAATCCTTAGATTACGGTGGTCTCCTCAACAGGACACATTTACGTTCACGACAGGAAAGGCGTTGGTTCAAGTTGATAACCTTACGAAACGCCTCGTATTATCTGAAGTGGCCCAGATATTTTACCCATTAGGTTCTGTGTCACCTATCACAATCAAGGCAAAAAATATTCATGCAGGAGCTGTAGCTGCATAAGCTCCAATGGGAGGAGACACTGCCATCGTAGTTTTCTGCACGATGGCTGATTATTTGAAGAGATCTCGTCAACTTGACTGACATTACAATACCACGGTTGCTCAACATAAAGGGCACCTCACACTTAGAGCTGCATGGGTTTTCTGATGCATCCTAATTAGCAATGTCGGCAACCATATACATACCAGTGCATGAATTAAATAAAATTATGACTGCATTAGTGTGTTCCAATACTAAAGTAGCACCCCTCAAGCCAAGCGCAATACCAAGATTGAAGCTAGCTGCAGCACTATTCCTATCGAAACTCATAAGTACGTCCGAGCCGCGTTGAAAATGGGCGTCGAGACAATACATCTTTGGACAGACTCGCGAGTAACCGTCACATGGATAAAGTTCCATCCATCAAGATGGAAAAAATATGTAAGAAACAGGGTTTCCATCATTCAAGACCTTACTCCAAACGCACACTGGAGATATATCCCTGGAACATTGAATCCAGCAGACTGCGCCTCACGAGGCATAACTACATCACAGTTTTAAAAACATCCATTGTGGTGAACCGGACTACAATTGATGAAATCAGCAGAATCATTGACCATGCCAACTAACGCTAAATAAAAAAAAAATGTCAACAAGAGGCACGATCCGGTACATTATTAGTAATGGTACCCAAAACAAAATTCTGGGTATTATGGTCAGCTCATTATTTACACCAGCAACAGTCAATCTCTAAATGGCATCACTCGATGAATGACATCAATATTGGCTCGTTGGTACTTGTTACCGACCAACGTTTCTCACCGTGCAAGTGGCCTTTCGCTCGAGTTATCGACATATGTCCTGACAAGAATGGACTAACCAGAGAGGTCACATTAAAAACAGCTTCGACAGCCATGGTAAGACCAATATATAAACTGGCAGTGCTATCAATCCCTGACGAAGGAAACAATCGTAAAGAAAATTGATGGTGGCGGGCGGAATGTTCGAAATTGGAGCATTTTCCAAGATTTTGGCTCTCAGAAAGGTATAAGTTTTCTAACTCTCGAATTTTTTAAGCATTTGATTCCGAGAATTCTAAAGCCTTACTTTTGAATGTCGTACAATTTTTATCTGGTCTCAGTATAGCAACGACGGTTGGAATTCTTCAACCTTCTAAAGCTTTGCTTTTCTGGAGTTCTCGTAACTTCTAAAACTTTAGTCTTGCACATCATGCAAGATTTTCCGCACAGCAACACTTACGCATTGTTGCAAATTAAGTAAGCTGCCGCGTGGATATTTAAAAGAAGCACACCACGCTTAGGCGCTCATTGTAATTTAGTTAGTCAGCTTATCAGTCATTTAAGCTATTCAGCCAGAGACAACCATAAGAAAGTCACTCAGTTACGCTAACGCAGTGAAGCTATTACAAGTAACACACATTCAATTATCAAGTGCGCTACAATTTATAAGCAGTCATGGGTGCTGACTGCATTACAACAAAGTATACGACTACAAGAAGCACGGTATCAAGGTATTCTTCATTACAAAGGTATGTCAATAGTCTTTTTTTCCAAATAACTATTCATCACAGGATCAAGCAAGACCACACGTCCTTTACACGAGTGTACGCAATTCTCTGCTAATCCTTACAACATTAGCAAATTGCACATTATATACACAACGAGGGGCATACTCCTTATCAAGGAGCATGCACAATCCATTGCTGATCCTTACAAGATCAGCAACAACTTCGTCACCATCAAGAAGTAACCCCATCATTGCGAAAAGACTGAGCTTACACTATCCAATGAAAGGTGAATTCAGCTCATTCCTAATATAATTGTTAATAAGCCATATGTTAACGAAGTCTGCACGTAATACATATTTCTACAGCCGTTCCACTTGACCCAAGCATCCGCTAGGGCGGATGGCCATTTATTATAAAGCTATCGAAATATTGGCAGTTCGAGCCAAAAAATTAACCAGTTTCCAACACATTATAATCATTTTAATTTTTCAATTTAATAATTTTATTTTAGTGTTTTAATTAAATTTTAATTTTAATTGTAATTGCTTTTTAATTTACTCATTAAAAAAAAATTCAAACATATTTAAGTAATGTAAGGAAGCTTAAAATATCATAGCTCAGTCTTTTAATAAATTAAGTATTTAAATATATATTAATACTAATTTTAACTATTTTGCATTTAATCTTAAATTATTTTAGTTGATTTATTTACACAATTACTTATAGTATTTATTATAGTATAAGTAACTAAAGTTTATTATTAAAATTTTTTTTATTATTCTAGTTACATAAATGTATAATAAAAATTAAAATGAATATAGAGTACTTTTTAAAGCTAAATAGTTAATAAATTAGATATATGGCATTATTGGGATACTTTTCATTATAGATTTGATTAAACAAACATTTAATCAGGAATTAAAAATCATTTGTTAAAAAGTTAACTGTAGGTAATAATAATATACAAGATGTAAATATAATCGTAGTTTATAATAAAACTTGAAGAGTAAATATATCCACACTAATTTCTCTGAAGGATGAATTATACATTACATAAATGTAATTTACATTATACTTTAGTACAATGTTAATAGATTATAACATTTGTAACTAACATTTCTACATCGGTGTATGGCGAATAAAATCCTTTCCCCCATTCAGGAAATAATCTAATAAATTAAAATTTTATTCAAATAAATATTTCATCATAATTAAATTTGATTAACAATTTCATTTATTAATGAAGTAAGTTGTTGGTGGATACCAGCAACTAACCGGTGCATTTGTAAGTTTTATTCTCAATCATCGGATTCGTTAAATCTCTCCTTATATAAATAGAATAATATTTAATTTTCAGATAGCGAAGAAACATTTTTCTATCATCTAAATTTTCTAATTCCGAGGTAAATAGTAGAAAATTAAATGGTCTCAATGACATATTACATAGTGATTGAGTAATCTGGTAAAAAACGACTAGTAGGTAAACCAAATATTATTCAATATAATATTTATTACATACGTAGAGTTTGTATGAAATAAAATTTTTACATATTCATTCAAATTTTATACAAATTTAATAATTTTTTAATTATATATTTTAATTTCTTATTTTATTGCAGCTGTTATTATTATTTTACTATTTTGTTAATTTTGACTTTATTTAGCATTTTTATAGTCAATGAAATATATCTTTATTTATCTTTATTTTAGTTACACATTTTTTAACGATTTAAATATAATTATAAATATTTTGAATTGGATTTTTCATGCATATAAATTTTATATTTATTTCACTAAAAAGCTGAAACAATTAGAAGATTATTTAACTATGATTTAATTATTATTATTATTATTTAATTATAATTATTATTATTTAACTATATTTACGATAATTTTTCAACTTGAATTGATCTAGATGATATATCAAATATGATTACTGAAAGAGCATATTTTTGTAATGGGCGTTTAAGGACCGATTTAATCAATTACTTTTTGATCAATTACTAATTGAAATCTAAAATATTAAAGAACCAAGAAAACTATGTATTGACTACAAAAAATACAATAATAAAGGATAAGTCACAATGATATTACCTTTAAATGCAAAACATAGATCTATAAATGCAAAAATCGGATAAAACTGTCTCAAAAACTATCTTGAAACCATCTAGAGTTATAAAATTAAGCGCATATGTGTTTTTTGATGGAATAGAGTATATATATAATTGCCTTATTTAGACCCTTTAATAGTTAATTAATATTGTAGGAGGCTTTTTCAAATATAAATTCAAGAATGTATTGATTGTTAAAAAATATATATGTATGATGAATCTCCTCCCTCTTTATTTCTCTTTGCATTTTTTCCCCACTTATAAGGCAGATATTGAATATTTAATTTCTTTTTTATAGAATTATATATTTTCCTGTAGTATTAAGTTACGTGTATTCATTATATATGTGTATTATGTATAAAATTAAAATATATAATTAACTTTTACTATGTATGTCAAAGTAGATATATATTATACATAGAATAAGTTTAATGTTTTCAAATTATTTTAATATGCCAAAATCGTGTTATAAAACAATGAATATTAAAATAATTTTTAAAAATAATATGTAAGTATAAGTGTATAAAGGTGAATTAATGGGGTACCAACTTTTTTAGAATGTGTAAGCATATGTGTACAACATCTATCGCTTTCTTCGGAAGCGGCTATAAATACAATAAGATTTTCATTCCTATCTAAAAATCTATATTTTATACATTCTTACAAAAGAGAAAATTCTTCAAAATTCATAATTCAAATAATTATTACTAATATTAAAAATACCAAAATTTATTTTACTCTATTTATCGTTCTTAAAATACGTACCTCCCCAAAATCTACCATGTGAATCAATTTTTGCATCATTCAATCTGGTATCGGAGCGATCAATGTCAATTGTAGCTAATGTATTTATAATCGATGGAATTTTATCACTATTATCATTCCACTTGATAAGTGTTACATTTTTTCCAATTCCAATAATAAAATTATCGATGCTATTTTCAACACCAATTATAAAAGTGATAGGTCCATTACCTGTATTTTTAGATTATTAAACAAAGTAATTAGAAATATGATTAATATTATTATTATTAGATTATTAATTTAAGAATTCACTTGAATTAAACAATATAAATACTATATATAGTAATAACTCTGAATATAGGTAATAACATTCTTAAATTTTGGGTAACAAATAGAAAGAATAAAGGGTGAAAACTAGATTAGTGCTTAAAAATTTATATTGATATACAAAGTAAATTTTAAATTAATATTTTAAATTAAAATTCTAAATTAATATTCTAAAGTAATATTTATAAAGCATTGTAGTAAATATTAAAGTTAAAAGCCTTTTAAATAATATAGGCACTTCTTTTGTAGTAATACATTGTACGTATAAATAAAGATTGTTGGTAACTACAGTTCTCCAAGCAAATATATTATATACTATTAAAAATAATTATTTACAATAATGTATTAGAATAATTGCTTAATTATATAATAAAATTTTCACTTAAATTATACTGTATTAACTTAATAGAATCGAAAGTGTTTAAGTTTAGTTAAATTGTGAAGTTATATTTGAAAATATAACTCAAAATATAATTCATATATATCATCACTTCAATAGCTACGTATAATTTATTATAATAAATTCATGAAGTCATTAGATTTACGAAAATATCTTGAATTATTTTAATAGAAATATAAACTCTATAACTCTTTTCATTATGTTTTCAGGAAAAAAATTATACAGTAACATTTATGAAAACATTATAATACGAAATAAATTAATGAGATTGTGTTAAAAATTTTTCATTTTTAATCATTTACTGATATGTAATATATTGAAATATTTAATTACTTATTACTCATATTGTATAGTAAATGCAAATGTTGTATCTATTGTGTTTCTTCGTCACATTATTCTTACTTATATTTAATTATGGTTTTTTCATTTTGGAACTATTTTCAATTAATCGCGATTTCTATGTATGAATAAAGATGGTAATGTAATAAGTAACGTTTTTGAGCGTTGGAACTAATATCAATGAATTTTGATACTTGATCTAATGACACTTGGATATTTTGAGTGTATATGAAGTTTAAAAATTATGATTATTAAAATATCTTGTTTCGAAATTTTTATTTTTCACGATAATTACATGATTATAGATATTCAAATTAATCTTTAGAAATTCTATTTTCTTTCGATTAACGTTTAAAAAATTGACTGATTCGTGATTGATGGTTAGTCTTAATATAAATGCTCAAGTACCGGGGACTTCGTCACAGCAAGGTTTCATAACTTTTTGCACTTTTTTCGTTTAAAGAAAAGTAAGGAGCAAAAGGATATGTAACAAAATATAAGGTTTTTTATTTCATTATTCAATGTGACTAGTTTTTTTTATTAATATTTCTATAATACTATATAACCATAACATTAGTGTAATGATAAGTATCTACAGAAAATTTCAGTGAGTAAGAAAATAAATAAGGATAATAAATAAGGAATAGTTATAGTAGATCTACAAAAATCAATGTGGAGCTTCGATTTATTAGCTGAAACGTTGATATATGCAATAACCATTAAAAAAATTACTGTATAAAGTATATTTGAATAAAATCATAATCATGTTGGTTGAAAGCTAAACGCTGCATCTAAGCATTCATATAATGTTTTATTAAATAATAGATTTTTTTTTTTTGGAAATATTATATAAGTATTAAAAATTTTTCTTTAAAATGAAATGATAGTATTTTAACTATTTAAAAGTATAATGACAGACAAATTATTTAAAATTTAAAATATATAATTTATAGTTAGTTATCAATTGTGTATTATATTGATACATACCGACAGAAGCTGAAACAGTTTGTTCAGAATTTGGATCATAACTATATATTTTTTCGCCAATTATATCTACAAAATACAGTTTCTGCAACTCTGAACTCCAGAACGGACCTTCTCCTAAAAGAAGTGGTGGACTAACTACCGAAATAGTGAAATCTGATGTTGCATTCATTATTTCATTTGGATTTTCTTGAATTCTAAAAAATATATTTTATAAATATTTAATTATAACATATTAAATATTTATGTAAATAAAGATTATTTATTTATAAATTAGTATTGTTTCTCCTTCTTTTTATATTGACATTTTTATTATTTTGAAAATTCCTCAATAAGAATAAATAAATGTGAATTACTGTGGATTTATATACATTTTACTCCATGTATATCATAGATAAGTGTAGGGATTTATTTTTAATAAGAGTTAATAATAATAATATTTAAATTTTCAAAAGATTTGAGAATGCATTTGTGTAGAATAAGGTATCAATAAGTAATTAATTTTTATTTAATGTTCCGTCAAAGAAGTGAAACATAAACTTGCTGTTAAGGCTTCGCATAGAGAATAAACAAGAAAAAATTGATGTTCACTGATCCATAGCTCAAAACGTCTCTATATATATTTCAGAAGAATATATTTAACATTTTAAAATAATTTAAAAAATATTACATGTATAAATTATTTTAAAGCTTACAACTTTATACATTCAAGAAAAAAATATTTCTAATTATTAACAAATAAATAAACTTAAGGGAATAATACATGTATGTTTAAATTTCTTTTTTTTTAATATTAAAATATTAGAAATATTTGTATATATACTCTATTAATATGTATATTAAATGATAATAAAAATAATAAAATTTATAAATATAATTATCTTTAATGAAATTAAAAGTTTTATATGAAATAATAATTTTTATTCAAGGCAGATTGATATTATCATAAATATTTATTACTTTCATTTATTTTTTTTATTTTTGTTTTTTCTAAGCTTCAAATATTTTAAACAATGCAGATCTTAATATGCTTTGAGACTCTCGATAAAATTTAATATTTTAAGTATAATGAGTCAAAAATATATATATAATAGAAAATAATAGTAATATAAAAAGTATATATTTGTTTAAATACAAAATTGTGTATATAATATATTAAAAAAATAGATGAGATGAACAGATGTCAAAATTAATTTGGAATACCAAACGAAATTTCTCAAACGTCTTTAAAATATTTTCGAAATTTTTTGAGTTTTGCAGAATAGGCATAATTGTAATCGTTTAAATCGTATTTATCAAAGAATTTTGTTATTATTGCCTAAATTTTTAATTGGCGATTAATCTTTTAAATGAAAATATCCGAATGTAATATAAATTAAAACTGCTTTAATATATTTCATGGAAAATAAAAATTTATTTCACTTTATCTAATGAAAAAAAATACTATTATTCTTTCAAGAAAAATCTATTTATTATATTTTTTATTTGTTCTTTACTTTCTGTTCTTTTATCTAATCTAAAATTCAATATCAAATTTATATATTATGTAATTATTTTTTAATTGTAAATTATATTTGAAATAAAAAATTGAAATTTATACATTAATCATATTTATTAAAATTTTTTTACATAACATATACATCATTCTTAAATGTACATTGCTTTGATAAATTTTTATATAAAAATTATTATTTATATATATCTATACTTAGGTGTTTATATACACATGAAAAACAATTTATTTACCTTATCATGGATGCTGTGTCGAAAATTATAATAAGCGTAAAAATCCAGAATCCTAAAATTTTAACAGTAACAATATTCATATTGCTATAAGATCAAGACACCTTTACTTCTGCAATACAAAAATCAAACTGAGGGAAAACCTTCTTGAGAGTGTTTCCTGTTTTCTAATTTATATAATATCATTACTCAATCTCTACTATTATATTTTACAGAGTATTTAAAATTTTCAAGAATCGTACGAAAGATTATATTTTATTTTAAAGCTTCAATTTTTTAATTATTTGTAGATAGTATACTTTTCATTCTTTATATAAGCATATAATAAACAACAATTATAATTACATATTTATTGTAATTTAACATATTTAATATATTACAAATATATAATGAATCAAATAATCAGTAGATTTTTACAATCGATTTTATTAAAACCTTATGATACAATAACTATATTAAAAGTAATTTTAAAATGTGTATATTGGAACTATCCGAGTTTGCATTTGCAGGAGTATAATAAATATAAATACAAATTCGAAATTCAATTTTGATAAATATCGAAGTATGTATTTATTATTATAAGGACTCGTTTAGACACTTCGTGTCCGAGGATTATGTGAGAAACAAAATTAATGAATTTACTTGCGCTCGATTTTTTTTACTCATGCAATCATCGAAAAAGTAAAATTGAAAAATTGTCATATGTATATAAAACAATTATAGAAAGTTTCTGAAACTCAAAACAAGTTAATTAAATTATTTTATAATGTAGTTTTATATCAAAACTAATTGTATAAGTATATTTTTGTTAATATCTTGTATAATAAATTGAGGAAAAAATTTAATAATTTGAAATATTTATTTTCAAGTCATAGACAGAGATATTTAAATAATCTTTGTTATTAATTTTAGTAATATTTATGTGTAATTTAAATTATATTATTATATTATTATATTATTATATTAAACATAAATTACATATACGTAATTGCTTAATTTTTTAATTAAGGCAGTTTCAAATCTTTCATTTTTATAAATGCACTTGATTTCTAATGTTTCCATTCAAAGTTTTTCATGAAAATTTATATTTTTCACTATTTTATAATAATAAACAATCGATTTGTAAAAATTAAATTAACAAATGTCTCATAATTTTGTAAATCTTTTAATAGATTATAAATAATATATAAATTAAAAAACAAATAATTTTTCAGAAAATCGTTTCCAAAATAATATGCTTCATATTCAATTAATTTTCTTACTTGCGTGAAGATTTGTCAAATAATAAAAAGAAAAGTATTTGAATTAATTATCACTTGTTATTATTAATTCGTATTTTCCTAACTCTATAGTTAAAATAAACTTAAACGTATGGTTATTGCAAATAAAGTCGTTTTTTCTTTAATAAATATATTTAATTGAAATTTTTTGCTAATCATGAAAATTTTATAAGATCACTTTATAAAAACTAATAATTCGAATTTTCGTTATTGTTAAATTATCATGGTTTAATGCTTAATACGTAGAAAAATCCGCTTTAATAACGATGTAGAAAATTATTATACAAAATTATAAATAAATTCCTTAACTGAATATTAAATTATTTTGTAATTTATTGTAAAAATGAATAAATTTATTATTTTTTTATGAACAAAATTATTTAAAAAACTATAAAAAATATGTTAATGATTATTAAATTTCTGTAATAATATTATCATATATAATCAATAAAGAAATTTGTTTATTAAAATTTATTTACCTTTTCTCTTAACATCACACCAAAAATTGAATATACACTGAATACAATTCATATAATTTATACTATATATAAGTTGAATAAACACTCAAACGATATTTTTAAAGATAAAGAAGAATATGTGAGAATGTAGATCAAATTAATCATGCCCTTGAAAGAGTATTGTGTAAGTGAAAGTATGATTACGTTCGAACGTATTAATGCATTTGATTTTTCCAGAATTTGTAAAAACATTTTATTTAATTTAAAACGATTATTTTTAATTCTATTTCACAATTCAAATTAATACTTAATAACATATACAATTTCAAAATTATTTACGATGAATTATAAAAAGTAAATATTCAGAAAAATTGTATGTAAATCATAAATTGTATGTAATCATAGAAAATTAAAGAATACTTAAATATATTTTACTAACATACAAGAATAGTTAAAAACATTGAATAAAAATTAAAAAATTAAACTATTAAACACCTTCATATAACATTATTTTTACTTAATTAGAATCAAGAAATGAATATTTTGTTCTTATAATATTATAGTAATTTATTGTATACAATTTTATTTACATTACATACATACAATTTATTGTTACAATTTATTATATGTAACAATAGAAAATAAAAAAAATTTAATTTCTCTTTCAGATAATATTTTGATTTATATGTATTGTGCTTTGATTACCATGATTTCGATAGTGTTTACTTTATGTCAACGTGTGAAGCACAATAATAATTTATATTCCGCTTATTTAGATGGACTACTAGCAAACAGGTCGTTATTATAAATGTAGAAACAATAGTACAATATAACATCGATGTTAATTGTTTTATACTGTCCAGTAACGTATAATAGTCAAGAAATATAGAGAGTGTAATTACTTGCATATGTAAATTAAGGTCTATACATATGAACTCTTATTAGCGTGCCTGATATGAAATTCCAGTTTCAATAATGTTTTCAATAATAAAGCTATTAACATTAAAATAAAAATACATATACATGAAAATAACACTAATAAATTCTAATAATATAAAATTTTTTTAATTTCGTGAGAAATAAATATTCTTAATATATTTTTAAAATATAGATTAAAATAAAAATTTGAAATCGAGTTTAAAAATTATACTTTTTACTTTTAATTTTATTTTACAGACATTTAAGTTTTTAATAAATATTTTGAATATAATAAATATTTTGACCCCTAAATTATTTATTATATTATTTAATATTCTAATTGATATTGAATATAATATTTGATATTTTTATACTCTTTTTCGATAAATAATAAATTTTTAAAGTTAATGTTTATTGGTACAATCTACAAAAGTCCATATTTGAATTGTGTAAATTTTTAATAACCAATAAGCTTAGATCTCCATTATTAATTTAAACTTTATCACTATTTTTGTATTAAGAAAATCGTTTCATGTTTTAGGAACATTATTAAGAATTATTAATTTTAAATAGATGGTATATGTTTAACGTATAATTTTAGATAATTTAATTGCGGAAAAACATTTGAAATCTTCAAATAAATATATCCATTTTCGAGGTTAAAAAATCTATACATTATTCTATCTATATCTTATATAAATATAAATATCTATAAATAAGGACTAATTATTATTTTATATATTAATTGAAGTTGTATTACATTTTTAATAACTATACCCTTATATAACTATAGAATAAAAGTAAGTAATTAGAAAAAAGTTCCAATGATAAGAAAATGAAATACAATAATCATGTTGTTCATAGTAATTAAATACAAATAGTATGAAAAGAAATAAACTAGAATAATAATAATAATTTTATTAATTGTTCATTAGTATATTTTGGAGTAAATATAATTACACTAATTTTTCAATTTAAAAATATTAAAAATATTATATACGAGAATTTAATATTATGAATTATATAATTAAACATTTATTTTTAGGTACTTGAAAAATCTATATTTTAAATAGAAAACAATATAAATTAATATATTTTTAATTAGACAGAAATAATATAAACATATTTAACCAATTAGGTTAATTTTACGGCTTATTAAGTAGATAATAATTATATCATAATAACGTTAATGCTATATTAAATTTCTATAAAATCAATATTTTTAATCTAAAATCTATTTGGGGATTTTTGTAAATAGGTTTATGGATTTTTAAATATTATTTTATATTTTATAAATGGATCCTGCCGTGTTTTAAGCCTTACCAAAATTGTGAAACATATAATCTTCAATTTTTTCAATCTTCAATCTCTTCTTATTTTAAATAAAATTTTATTTCATTTTCCTTTGTACCTTAATTAATATTTTAAAATAAATTTCGATTTTATTATAAGTTAGATATGAATTACATTCATCTAAGTCTAAATGGGATTTTGAAAATACTTGTAGATTCTACAGAGTATTCCTATTTTTGATAAAAATTTTCATATATTTATATATATATTTTTATTTAGGATATATAAGATTATATATATATATATATATATATATATATATATATGTATATATAATAAATATTATGTAGGTCTTTCAAATTTGTTTTTGTTTGTGCTTTTGTATTAACGGTTTGTTAAATAATATTTCCTAAAATATATTAATTTCGTTATATTAAATTTAATAAATTTAGTTAATTTTGGGTTAAGTACATTAAAATATATAATAATATATTATATTCTTATAAATTATTAGATTTTTATGTATGTTACAATTATACATTTTTTCTGTAACATTAAAATTGTAATTTATTTTTTATTAATAATAATATAATTATATTACATAACAAATAATATATTTATATAAATAAAGTAAATGTATATAAAACATTATGAAGTAATTAGAATTAAAATAAATTTCAGTAGTTATACTTAGATTTTAATATAACCATACTATTTTTTATCTAATAAATTAATTTATACATTTTCTTTGTTTAAATTATTTTTAAACTTAAGATACAAATATAATAATTTTTTAAATTTTATTCTGTAAGAAATAAAATTATATATCTTTTATGATAACGTTCCATCATAAATTTGTTAATAGTCAATTTAATAGTTATTTTATTTAAAAATTTATTTTCCATTAAATGAGGACAGTTATAGTCGTGTATAATCTATTCGAAAATTATATATCATTACATCGTGTAATATAATATATATTTTGTATGTAATTTTTCTTTAATCAATTTTAGTATGTATATACTCTTATTTTTAAAATTCTTGAACTTAGGCCTTTCAAAATATCTGCACAACGTTTTTAATTTTTTTTTTATTAATGTATTAATTATCAAATTTAATATATTCATTACTAACCCATTTTTTAGTGAAATTCTTTTAACTTTAAAACTATTTCAATTAGTTTAAATTGTAAAATAATATTGAAAATATATTATATAGCTAAATACAACTATTGAAAAATATAGTAATAATAAACTCTACATATTTAAGTAATATACTTTGATATTATGTTTGATATATGTTATGCTTCTTTGGTACATTTATATTAGAGAGAGTGATATTAGATTCCTTGGAATGATGTTAGATTCCAGTAATTATTAGTCCATTTTTTTCACATTCTTTAATGACAAAAAAATTATTTTTCTTGTATCTTATTTTTAAATGTATTTAATTTTTAATGTTATTGTTAAACAAATTTTTCTAAGATATAAATAAAGAATTGGCCAAAAAGACTTCTCTATGTCAATATTAAAGGCTACTAAATGACTTATCCAATCTATACAGCAATGTCTTCATCTGCAAAAATAATTTATTATTTTATTTACAATAATATATTTTATTAATTATTTTCAATTTTTACGTAATATTTATTAAAATATAAATATTTATTAAGGTACTACTTATATAGTATATATAATAAACGCATATTTTATTAAATTTTATTAAAATTTATTATCTTAACCAAGTTTTAAAATGTTTATATTACTTTTATATATTTAAAATAAAGACCTTACGTAGGAATAGTATATATATGGTTATAAACTTAACGTCTATTTGTATATAAGTATATTATATTTTGTCTAAAAATAAAAATATCCATGCTTTATTCAATAATGCTTATTCATTGTTATAAAATAGAATAATAATTTACCCATGTAATTGTCATAATAGTTAAGCAAAATATTGTATCAACTATTAATTAATTAACATAATTAATTATTATTGAAATTTATAGTCGTAAATAGTCTTCATCTACATTAAAAATTAAAAATTTAACGTTATAATAATATAATAATATTTTGTCGCCTATATTTTTTTATTAACAAATAGTACCTTTGATTTAGACAGTTCAAACTGACTGGTAATTGATCAGCAGTTGAAATATGATCCATAACAGTTTCTGATAATGTATACCATTGTGCTACAGGTTTACGAGGATTGTCAAGCATTTCAAGCCAATGATTTTTTCCAATTCCAATAAAATTGGCTCCAATTGCAGTACAACCCATTAATTCATTTGATCCAATTCTTAAAATAATATATACATATATATTATTCAAATAATAATTATTAGTGAAAGTAATAAAAATAACAAATAATTAAACCAATTTAAAGATATATATTTTTTGATATTTATTTTATTTTATTTGCTTAGATGCATATAGATCCAGTAAAAGATGTTTCATTCGTAAATAAAAAAATGTATACGTTAATCGGCTAACTTGAACATATTTATACGTACATGGTAGAAAATTCACACTATTTCATTTTACATTTAAGTAATTCAGTGCGTGTTAAAGGAATTTGTGATAAATATCACTTTTTGAATTACATTTTTATATAAATAAATTACTATTTAAATCATAGTTTCATAGCTATTACTTACAAAATTAATAAATTCTCTCAAAACAATACTCGAGCAATTAATTCAGGATTTAAGTTTTTTTACAGATAGCTCAAATTAAGCACTTCTTCAAAATTTAATGATTAGACTTTAAACATTATAAATTCCTGAAATATACAACGAATACTAAAATAACGTATAAAATATTTATTTAAAATTTGTTGTAAATTAATTTAAAAATAATATTAATAGAAATTATATAAATAAAATTTTATTATATAATAAAAAATTTAGTAATTTGAGATACATTTATCAATTATGCTTTACAACAGAAAATTTTGAAATGAAAATTTTAACACTGTAAAGAATTGAAAGATAATGAATAATTAATTGCATGTAATACAGATTGCAATTCGTGGTAGTATTGCACTTTAAGTATGAGTTCCTCTTTATGGTTCATAAATATTATATTATTTATACATCCGTAAAAAGCTTTAAATTATGCCGTTAGTCAATATTTTTTATCGAACGATCGACGTTCTTTTCAAAAGTAGAATGGTTCAAAAATACGTCTAACAGTTTATTTATTTTTATTTATTTAAGCATAAATAATACTAAGCACACTGGATGTCGAAATAATATCATTTGTAAAGAAATATTCAATAATATCAATTGTACCATTTGGATATCCATTTAATATTAGTGAAATTATACTTGTGTCGATTAACTTGCAGTTCAGAATTTATACGAATATTTACGTATTAAAAAAAGTTGCGTTTAAGGTAAATAATACGGATTTTACTTTTACCATTTTTGTATTTACACAAATAAAATAATGTTTACAGAAGAATCAGTAAAGTTTAAGTAACTTTTAATAATGTTATATAAGAAAATTAATTATAAATGTAATAAGTTTTGATCATACAGAATAATTTTTATAGGATCGTTATATAATATAAATTTTATTAATATTGATTATTAATATTAATATTGATCTATTGCTTTACCTATCATAATCGATTACTTTAATTATGAGACTAACATCCATTATATTCGCAGCTGGAACATCGAAAACAAATGCTTCATTATAAATTGGACATAAGGATCCTTTCTTTACACTAGTCTTTTTCTTTTTAATTCGTTTTCCTTGGCATAATAAATAAATTTTCACGTAGGGATCTGCAGATGAATATACAGCATTAACATAATTTAGAAATGAATTATAATAACATAAAATTTATATTAAAATTTATATATAAATTTATATATAAATATTATATATAAATTTATATTATTTATATTATACCAGATAATCCAGTAATATCCATTTTCTTAAGATTTCTTGCTTTTATTATTGTAAGTGTCAATCGTCCAGCAGTCGGTAAATAGCATAGAGACATCATTAATTCGCCCAAATTAACTTTGTCCTAGTTAATTAAATTAATTACAAATGTATATATTTAAACATTTATTTATTTCCTTTAGTTAATGTTATAATGTTATATATAATTACTGGAATTATTGATAGATAGAAATTTTAATAAATTATATATAATGAAGTAAATGTAATAAATTTAAAAATTCATATTTTATGAAAAATTTGTTTAATAAATGCTTATATGTATTAGATATTAGTTTAATCGTAGTATAAAAGGTATTTAATGTAATGAGTTTTGTTATTATTGAATATACGTTAAAAAAAAAATTTAATATACCTGTATGGTACACATAATATCCATTGTATATTCTATTTCATGGTCGATTTCCGTACAATCACCAAGATCTTTTAACAATACTTGTCCGATTAAGTCATGTCGCGAAAATCGATCAAAGTCATAAACTGAAAATTGTAAATGTCTGTGATGCAAATCTTCATACAAGACACTAAAAAATTATAAATAGTATTAAAACCTTTGAATCAAATAATATCAGAATGATTTGTGTATGTTTTATTTGAAAAAATTACTTGAAAATGAATGTTTCATTAAAGATTGGATTCAAATTTTTTCGATGAACTTTTGTTTGGTATTTTTTTTTTCGATCAGGAAGAAGGTAAATTTTTACATATGGATCACTACTTCCAGAAACATCTTTAACAGGTAATTCTCGAGCTTCCAAAACCTGTACACAAATAAAAAGTGATATACATTTTTCAAAATTCTAATTACATAAAAAATATTAAACATTTTAGTTGATATTATTAACATTTTTAGATATTTTTCAATTAACAAAAATTATGAAGATAGATTTACAGTTTCGTTTTTTATTAAGGAAAATCAACAAATTGAAAGGGGGTATTTATATATAAATATATATCTAATTTATAAATAAATAAAGCAGGTACCGTATAATTATAGTTTCTTTGTATTAATAATAGAATTACATATTTATCTGGATATGATAATCATATATAATTAAACAAATAATTAGAATATTTTTATTCTGATAAATTAAATTTGGAATGGCGAATAATTGTTTTTATAATATTATAATGAGAATGAACTGGGAACATCAATATTGTTTAACATGCTTATGTCATTAAGATCAGGCTAGACCTGTGAACTATGTAAAAAAATTTAATTCATATAATGTCTTTCGATAAAGTAAAATCAAATACTTTCTTAAACATCTGTAAGAAAAGCAGAGAGAAAGAGAGAGAGAGAGAGGGAGAGAGAGAGAGAGAGAGCATTCGCTAAACGTATTTATTTTATGTTTATTCCTCTACTTTGTATTGTACTAGACATTTGTACAATGACTTTTTACCATAAATCTTCTCCTTCATATTTTAAATAAAATCGCTTTCTCTTCTTTCTATATATATTTATTTTCATGTTTGTTCGATTTAAATATTTTTTTCTTTCTTTTCATTTTCATTTTTATGTCTCGAATTCAGAATGTTAGACTTTGATATTAATTTTTTTGTTTTTTAATATGAAGTTCATGTATTTATCATACCTCTATTTGATTAATCTCATTTAATTAGTACCTCGTATTTCTTTTATTTTCTTGGGATTCCTGATGAAGTATTCTTTTTTCTTTATATACACTAGCTGATTTATTACTATTGGTTTTCATGATCATACAGCTAAAGATGCACATTGTTTATTATTTCTTAGTGTTCTTGGAGATCGGTATATGTCGAAAAGCTTATTCTATTTGATTTATTTCTAAAAATTCAACTTTCATTTTGTTAATATCGTTAAGACTTAAGATTATATATTTTGGTAATTTTTATTCATTTAAAACTTTATATTCGTGATCTTATTGAAAATATGAATTGCAGACATGAGATATTTTAAAAACGAAGCTTTCTATGCATTTACATGTTTCTGTAAAATAGTACACTATATGCATTTAATTTTGTAAAAACTTTATTATTTATACATTTTAATAATTTACTAGTTTTTATACAGTCTGATAGTTATTTTCGTTTATAATAGCAATACTATATTTGATGTTATTTAAAAATTAATGGGGAAATTGCAGAATTCTCAAATATGAAAATATTTTTGCATACATGGACAACTATGTTGTAATAAAAATTAGAAAATTATATATAATTACATTAAAAATTATAAACATTATATGGAAAAATTAATATAATATTAATATATAAACTAAATTTGTTTTAATTTTTATTATAAAATAGTCGTTGCCGCAATATTGTAGTAATATTTTTAAAAAATTTTTGATATTTGCTACAAAGTTTGGTGTAATTTTTATAAAAATAGCAATACTGTGAATTTTTCCATTACCAGACAATTATTTATTTTGTTATAAAAAATTACTGACATATTGAAAATTATATAAATTTTTGTTTAATCGAAAAAGAGACAAATACATAAATAGAAAAAGAATTATTTTCTTAAACAAAATATTAAATTAATATAATTTAATAATAAACAATCACTTATTAAATTTAAAGTATTATAAATATTTTGATTATATTAATGCCATATTTACTATTTTTATAATTTTATATTTTATGTAATAATTTGATAAATTTAAAAAAATTAAATATTTTTCTTCGGTTTTGGAAATTTTCAGTAATTTTTTATGTTGATATTTTTAGATTTTCGAAAATTTTATAATATCATAAGTGATTCTGTAAAAGAATAAAGAAAAATAATAATAAAACAATAAAATAGTATCTTAGGATTTTTTAAAAATAAACAGTTAAAGTAGTTATAAATCATTCATTATTTTTTATTAATTACTTAATTCTTTTTTTTTTTAATTTTTTAGTATATTTGTAATGTAAATGTTTCATATTTCGTATAGAATACCATGAGAATTATATAATTTAATTCTAAAACGTTTATTAATAAAATAAAAATATAATACTAATAATATAATACTACTATAATAAAATAATTTTGTAATCAATAACAATTTTGCTAAGCACTTTTCTTATAAATACCTATAATAATTATAAATAGTACAAATAAATAATTTAACAACAATATTCTAATATATTTATTTACCTTTACTACAAGACCTTCGATTTCTTTATCATACCGCAGAGCAAAGTGAAGTTTACCAGCACTGTCCATCTCTCCTGTACTGGAACTATCATTGCTTTCCTGACGTTTGAAATCTTTTTTATAAAGCTCAGGCTAAAATAAATATAAATTCATTATATGAATAACAATATCATACGTTATAAATATAAAGAAAATATTAAAAAATTTTTTTCTATTAATAAATTATACAGTAAAATGTGGTACAATTCAATTAAATAAATTATGTCGTGAAATCTGGTATTTCATAAGAATGTATTTCGTATAATCTAATGTACATTTGTAATAAAAGTCTATTATATATATTTCATGTATTACGAAATTCGAAATATATCGCCTGAATAAATACGAAAAAATTATGTTTAATATAATCGATTTTAATGATTAATAATATGCCCATATCAGCAGCTCAATGCGAAGAATATACAATTAAGTAAGGGGTATAAAAATTAAATGTACTTATAAATATCAAAACTAACTATTACTATATAATTGACATGATAATGAATATTTACGACCAGCTAGAGTTAACTAAATATATTAAAATGCTTATTGAATAAATGTTTATATTTCCTCTTAATATTTTTTATAATGCGCGTTTATGCAGAAAATAAAACTTGGATTTAAAAATATGTAGAAATATCATATTTCTTCAACTTTCATTTTGTTGAATAGAATGTCTTCTTTGCTGGTCGTACTGTTATTTTAATTACTATAAGCCCTAGTGAAATCGATGTTTATATTCATGGAAATTCGACTTTTATGGAAATTATCTTCGTAATTCAATAAAAAAACTAATATCCTTATATATTTACCGACTTTTATAGAAATAAGAATCGCATATTTAAGACATTATTCTGCATGCATTTCTGTATGTCAAATTTTGAGCGTAGCATTATATACACTGTTATCGTCAAAAAGTCTGAACTTACACATACACAAATAATTGTTATCAAAGAATAAGTTGACGTAATGGATAAAGAAATCTTGTGGTAGGAAACCAAATTCGATTATAGAATTTTTTTTTTAATTTAGCCATTTCGGATTTTTTTAATATTTCTACATTTTGTTATGTTAAATCATGTTAAATGAAAGTTGGTTTCCATTTTTTATGTTGGCAGTGTAATGCCAAGTTTCAATCAGTATTTACTTATCTAAAAAAGAATATCTCAAATGCACTTGAAACATGGATTCAAGTGATGATAACTATTCCATTTTTAGTGTTGTATTTACGACAAATAACACAGAGCTTGGAAGTAAAGTTTTTCCTATGACTGCTTCATAAAGCTCTCAATTGCCTCAAAAATAATAAAGTTTACTGTTAGATGAAAATCTCGTGAAAATATTATTTGAAGAGTAAACATTGTAAAGACGATGGCGGGTATTTTGTTGCTTATCTGAATATTACTGTCTAATTGCTGCTTTTGATATAAATAAAACAAAACATTTTTCAGTTTATTTCTAAATCGTGAAGAATAAGAGGAATATAGATTTTGATAATATAATAGAATGTTTAAATTATCTTTAAAAATATTGGTTTACAATAGTGCTATATTTTCTAGAAATTATATACACATTTAAAATAAAGTAAAAGCCCTCGTCATGAGAATAGAGGGATTTATGAATGACCAAAATAAATGCCTCGAATTGGATTAGGCATGTTTCCAGACTTTATACACATACCTCAATTATTATGAGCAGTTTGTTATAATTATTCTTAACATTTATTAAGAGCAATTCAGAGCAATTAATAGTAATAAAGTATTATTAAAAAATATATACCGTTTGTATACTACATAGGTGTAATTGTCATTCTACACCTAATCGCTTATAATATAAATTAAACACTGTGGAGTTATTATATTGTATATATTTATTTTTTATAATTTAATTACTTATCTCAATATGTTATAATGTTAGTGATACATTATTATAGGCGATAAATACATAGGTGGTTGTGGGAATGTCGGGAGAGAATTGAAAGACTACGACATGAATAACGGAGGTGAGAATTAGCTATAAATTTTATTATTTGAACGCGCATAAATTATAATATGAGAAACACGTGTATATAAAGTATGAAACTGTATGATTCAAATAAATAAATAAATACCTAATGTTTCGATACAAATTTAATTTTCATATCAGCAATCGTATAATTTTATAATTTAAAAAATGAAATTTAGTCTTTCAATATTCAAATAATGATTTTATTACTACCTTTTGAATTTCTCAGTCATATATTTCTATTATACGATTTATGATACTAGCAAGTTAAAATTAAGAGATTAAATTTTAATACTATTTGATGGTATCACAAAGTCGATAGTGTTTCCACAATAAAAGAGCAGTAGGGGGCTTCCGTGAATATAAAAAATTAAAAGCAATAAAGACAATAGATACAAAGATATAATAATCGAGAATAAAATTGAAATAAGTCGAGCCAATCTCTTGCGAACAAGACAGGCTAAAGCCAATAATCGTTGCTATTTCTCGGCCGCAATGTGTCGGTTGAGTGTCCGATAACGTCAGCTATCATTATTCTGGCAACATGAGTACCTCATTATAGATTTAGTAATTCAATATTTTTTAAAAAGTTTACATTTTTTTTTATTTATGATATCAAAAAACCATTCTAATTGTACTATCACTTGCTTAATTATATTAATTTATATTAAAAATTATAAAAATATTATTGACAAAATATTTATAATTTAACAACTATTAAATTCACAATTAAAACTCATACACATTGATATCGTTTTTTGCATATTCAATTCAGTTTAATTTTAATTCACGAAATAAATTGATATTATCATATAAATTTTAATATAAAATTTTATAATAATTGATAATATCAAAATATATAATATAAAAGGTTATAAAAAATTATCAAACTTACTTTAATAAGGCCAAGACGTGAATCTCTGCGATTTTCTAACCTACAAATACTAAATTTGATATTTGGTAAATCAAGTCGGTGTGGTAGCTGTCGTTGAAAGGTTTGATGTCTCATGGGAACAATAGGTAATGTTGTTTGCCGTAGCACCTTATTTGAATGTAAAATAATAATATATTTAAGTATGTTTAAAATAAAACAATAAAACAATAGTGGATCATTAGCGGTAAATAGCTTATAACATAAAACAGGAAAATTTGTGAACATAGATTTAAATAGGAACATATTTTTTAATTATATATTTTATTCACTATGGACAGTATATTATGCTATTATATATAGTTTTGGATAATATTTATTATATTTATTTAATTTTTTAAAACAGATATATTATTTTGTCATAAAAAGGAAAATAGAAATTCGAATAATCTGAAATTTCATGAAGGCAGAATTTCATATCATATATTACTGTGTAAAAATGTAAATAATTGGACATCTTTATGATAAATATATATTTTATTATGTATTTTATTTAAAATATGTATTTCAATCCTAGCGTTAATAAGCATTAGTAATTAAAATTATACCTACACACACACATATTTTGTATTAAAATATTTATTACATTTTCATTAAAATTAAAATTTATAATGGAAAGTATTTTCTAAATTAGATAGTCTAACAAGTCAAATTATTATTGTGTCGCAACATACATGGAATTTAAATGTTAATCATTACGTATTTTATTAATTGTCAGAAAATCTTATTAATTTTTTCCAAATCCGGATGAAATTTTGTAATTCACATATCATTTTTGCTCTGTTATAGTGTAGTTATTATCTTTCCATACTATAGTTTGATTATTAAATAGTTTTTAAATATTATTTAATGATATTCTTTAAGTATGCTTTAAATATGTAAATTAAATGTAAAAAAATTATTTTCAAATCAATTAACTGCAGAAAATACATTAATGAAATCATTCTTACTAAGTAATTATTGATATTAATATAAATAGAAAATGTAAATATTATACTGGATATGAATAGTATCAATATAATTACTCGTCGAATATATTATAGCTAATAATTATAGCTAATAAAAAAGAATACTTAATAAACATAAATTTATACATTTTATAAATCTTTTATAAAACATATATCAAGCTTTAAATTGAATTTTATATATAATAAATAACATTAATTCTAATGTATTAAATGAAAATTAGACATATTTTAGAGAGAACTTTTCTTCCATATATGAAAAAATGATAAAACTTTGACATATTATGAAATAATCGATGATATATTAATGTAATATATGTTCGAATGGATGTATTCAAATTTATTTATATGATATGATTATTATGATACGTAGTATTTCAAATATTTTTAAGTTCATTTTGCAAATTTTTTAGTAAATGTGCATTTAATTGATTTAAAAATATTTTTTACTGAATATATTACATCTTTCATTATTTTACAGGTGTTAGATAGGTAGCCATTAATAAACAACAGCTTATTTTATTAAAACTATAATCAGATTCATATAAATTCAAACTATTATTAAATAATAAATATTAAATTTACAAATATTTTATTCCTATAAAAAATAATAAAAAATAATCTATAAAATACCGAGATTTATCAAAAAAACTTTACCTTTTTAACATCCTTTTGTTCCTGGACATATTCATGAGTAACTGGCTCAGACTGAAGATCAGGTAATGAATGACTGATGCGTATAGCAGACTTCTGTGAAAATTCATGCTCAACATCATTTTGATCATTTTGACAGTATGTTCCCATAAGCCATCGCCATGTAGTTGAGCATTGGAAGCTCACAGCAGCAAGCAGTACAGCCGCCATAAGCACTACACTGACTCCAATTAATATTTGATATGAAAAATTTTTCGTGCCTTCCTCCACTATAATATTAAAAGAATATAATTAATTGAATAATGTTAAATTAAGAAATTTTCAGAAAATTAAACATAATACGCTTTTAAATGATTAAATTTTTTACTATAGTATATATTACTTTATGACTTTAAACCAATTTTATGACAATTTTATTTTGTAAAAAATTAATTACATAGGTAAAATAATATAATGAACAATATAAAATAATTTTTTTTTACATATTAATTATGGTTGTAAAATGGAAATTTCAAATTAAAAAAAAATAATTTCAAATTAAAAAAAAAATTTATAATATTGAAAAGCTATTACAAATTTCTACATTTTTAAAGAAGTTATACGATTACTAAATTTAAAACAATCGGTAAAATTTTCTGTCAAAAGATATATGAATATTAAAAAAATTATTTTTTAATAATGTTTAACATCTGAACGTCAACTTATATATTTTTATAAAAAAAATATATAACGAAATATAACGAAACTTAATATATTTCAGGAGCGTTATAAGATGTGCATTTAAATATGTAAATTACTTATGTAATAAACAACTAATTGATCATTTGTAGTGTTACATTTTTTATTTTTTCATTTTCTAACAATTATAAATAATTACATTGTATAAAATTCCATATAATATTCCATATAATATAATATAATACATTAATGTTGAATAAAACTTATAAAACCTTAAAATTTGGTGAGTGAATTAACGTGGTGATTGTTCAATTAATTTAAAACGAAATTAAATTTGGGTATTTAAGTACATTTTCAAAACAGGCTATATTTTATTAAATATTATTATATATTTATTAATTTTGTATGTATTATCAATAATATTTTTAAATAGTTGAATGTAGATATTAGAATATAGATGAAATTTTATTGAGTCGGAATCATTGGTTTTTAAATTATAATTATTATTTATTCGTAAAGTGAAAAGACTAATATAATATACATTTTTAATCCTTAGGCATATAGATAAACAGATTATTAAAAGAAACTTTTCTTGTTCTATGAATTTGTTTTCTATAATTTTATAATCTTCTATAGATTTTAGAATTCTATTTATTCTATAAATCTTCTATTCATTTTCTGTAAATGAGTTCCATACTTTCGTAATTGAGTTTAATATAAGATAATATATCATAAGTTACTTACTAAATAAAAATGTTTAAATTAATGAAAATTAACTAGAAAATTTTAATTAAAGTATCACATTATTTGCAGCAATAGTACTAACGATGTATGGCAGAAATGCTCATACTATATATATATATGTATATACACATATACTGGTATATCTATGAAGTGAGTTGTATTAAATCAAGTTGCAGAATCGCTAATAAGAAAGTATAATTAAGAAGGTATTTAGAGTATTAAAAAATCCGATATTCTATTGCATATGGAATGCATAGATAATAAATTTTATGTGTTTCACTTTACAAATAACTATAATAGAACTTTGAAATGTTATTTCGTAGGAATTTTCAGAAATATTTTTTTTTGGAAATGTATTATTATGAATTTTTAAATAAAGCTATTTGCTTTCCCAAATTAAAATATTGTATAAACTCAAAATTAATTCACGCAATTATTCACATATAAATTTTATGTATAAATAATATATTATGTGTAAACAATTATGTAAATACAATTATGTATAAAATGTTTAAATAATAAACTATCACAAATTTATTATAATTAATCATTTAATAATGATTTATAATGTAATTTTTTACAATATATCTCAAATTATTCATAAAAAACTATGATATTTTAATATACTTCTCTATTTCTTGAACATTATAGTATTATTTTAATTTAAGATAATTTAAAGAAAATAAAATCTTAATTTGAATAAATCCAATTATACAGTATTTTAATTGATACGGAATTACATTGATTGTTTAAATATTTTTTTTTTATATTAATAGAATTAAATATCCAATAAGTTACTGTAAGATGAAAATTTTAAACTGGCATTTACTAAACAGATATGATAAGGGCAAATTTTTATTTAAAAAAATGTCATTTAATAATTTTTATTTATAGTGATTGCTTACATTAAATTAAATTAATCATTAGAAATTTGTTCTCTTCTACGATATTTAATTTGAAAAATATTTTTATTCCGCTACTGTTAAAAATTTGAAGGGAAAGATATATTGGTCGTTTGAACTGAATAAGTGTTAAATATTGGTTAAATATAATTATTATCCAGCAAAATTATTAAAAAAATCTCAGTTTATTATATTTTTACCTTTGTAATGGTGACAGTTTCCCCAGACTGATCAGCATCAGGATTCGTTGGAAGGGAAAAGAAATAAATTTAATCAAAGTTTTATGATAAAAAAAACTATCCTTTATTGCCTTAAAACAGGTGTATGTGTTTCTCCGCATAGATGGCTTACTCCTAAAGCAAATACGTATAATAGAAAAAAATTAGTTCACAAAACAAAAGACTTTATCATATATAATTACATGATTAATTCATTTGGAAGTATAATAAAAAAAAGAAAGAAAATCCGTTAAGTATTGCATTTAATAATAAATAATTCTCTACATTTGAAACAAAATAAAAACTATTAACAATACTAGTGCTATAAAAGGAATATTTTGTTAATAAAATTATTTATTAACATAGTAGTAGAAAGATAATCATGGAAAATTATAAGAAATGTCTATTATATACAGTTATAAAAAATATTAACGTCTTTGATGATAACAAGACAAGTAAAATTAATAAAGTATAATGTTAAAAGAATTAATATATGTAACGATAAAAGTAAAGTAAGACTTTTTATATCAATAATATTCTTAACACAACAGAAATGGATATTATTCAGCTTATTTTTTATTACCAACCAAAAAAAAAATGAAGTGGTAGGAAGAGAAGTGTTTGGGCATCGCCAATTCTTCGCATAGCGGTAATAACAAAAAAAGTCAGCAAAATTATAAATTGAAGTACTACGTGGGATAAAAAATCTTGAGGTCACTAATGAAAAAAGTGCAATTATTTCGATATAGTTGAAAAATAGTGTACAAGCCTGTTTTTATTATTATTTATAAACTGATAAAATCACTGCTAAATTTGAATTATTTGTTTTGAATTTTAAAGGGAAACATAATGTCAATAAATATATTATTGGCGCGTAATGTTATTTTTACTCCTATTTCGACTATTTTAATCATTTCATAAATTTACAATTCACTATAATTTTCAGTAATTTATAATAAAAATACAATAGCATGCATTAATGTAAATTTGTTAATTATTAAATTTACGTAGATCAGTTAAATAGATTTAGATTTGAATAATATAAAAATTTTAGGAACAACGATCATAAATATTAATATTATAACATCAAATCTATTTTTTAACAATAAAATATTTAAGTAAAAATGAAAATGAATTTTTAAATTTCAAGTTTAGATAATTTTCTAAAAAATTATTAAAAGAATATTAATTATACAATTAATGATTTTAAACTACAAAATTTATGTAAAAAATATTAAAACTTAGAAACTGTAGTTATATACCATATGCAAGTGTAAAAAGATAACATCATTAGAAGAGATTTAATCTTTAGAAGTCTTCCTCGTTGTTAGTGTATTGCTAGCAAAATGTTATTATGTGTCACAGGGCCAGTGGGATTTTTATATTTATCAGTTACTGAACACAAGTTACTTACTTACTAACGTTAGCTGACTTCGACTGGAGGTAAAGATCATATACTGCTATATCTCAGGATATTCATGGGCCTCAAAAAAATGCAGGATGGCTAGCATCGATCGTATTTGGGAATTTTCTGAAACCTCTTGGTTGTTCATGTACAGCTTTAATATGTTGGTATTCGTTACAACTTACCTCGTAATTTGAAAGATTTCAGTTATTATACGAAAAAAATCAACACTGTTTCTGTACCTTCATAAGCAAGATTATTTATCCTCGTATTCATCGCAGAGTTTGCGCATTTCATCTATTCATTTTCTATTTATGCATTTTATACGAATAAGTACAATTTATTTAAAGCAAAAAACTTTATGTTAAATAGAATTTTAAAATGTACATGGTTATTATTTTAATTATATTTAACTGTATTGTAATGGTATTATTTGGATAAGACTTATTTGAGAATCATACTCAATAGCGAAATTTTATGTAATTACTGAATAGCTGATAAACATGGAACTTTTATGAAAACATATATACATATATATATTTATACTAGTTTTTTCAATACAATCTAGATTACCTTTAATTAGTAATTTTTATTTATTGAGTTTATGTATTAAAAGGTCTTTTATGCAATTATAAAATATCTTACCTATAAATTCTCTTGAAATAAAACAAGAAAAAGTCTTAATTTTTTATTGACAGTACTCAAGATATTTGTTTGCAGAAGTCCACAATAAAACGCTCGGTTGCCGATGTTAAAATCACCATGTAAGTGAGCAATTACGTACGTCTGGTCAGCTAACTAATGAGTATTTTTCTACACGCAATAAAATGCGCATCGAGGTGTAAGACTAAAAGCCTTATTGGGAGGCCCACAGTTCTTCGTATTGCTAGCGTTCTTAGATTCTATTTCTATGATCTTTTCTGTCTGTAGCAGAATTGTCTGTACATTAAATAATTTCGAATTTTAAAAACGATTTTAGACTGTTACTGGACCAATTTTTATTTGTGGTAAAATTACTTAAATAAGGCGTTAAATTTGCAAAAGGCAAAATAGGTACTATTAATTAAGTATTTGTATGTATAAAATGTTATGATATAATATAATGAAAGACATATAAAAATTTAAAGTACTTTATTTAGTAATAGTAATACTTTTATACAGAATTTGCATTAGTATAGAAATTCTATGAAATGTTATGTAATAATATTTAAAAAAATACTATTATATATTCTACTATAAAAGTAAAAATTTTAAATATTAATAAAGAGATTATAACATTTAAAAATAGTCTATAATACTTCAGTTGTCATATTAGAAACAGAAATATTAAGTATGGAATATTAATTATCTCAGATTCCATCTCACCAACTTCAAACTATATCATAATCAATATCATCAATACTAAATCAATTATCATTTGTATGGAATAATAATTTATATGCGTGAATACATGTGTAGATAAAGTAACAATTTGAATACCATTAGTCCTTTATATATGAACGAATGAATAAATAACGAACATTAAAATGTTGAATATGATGGATTAGGAAGAGTTGTAATCTAGTCCACGATATTAAAATTAAATTTGCAGACTTTGCTAAAATCATTTTCTTATTGTTTCAGAAAATATAAATTTATATTATATTAGTTTCAATTATATTATATTAATTTATTTATATTATTATTATATCAGAAAATATAAATATAAATTTTTCTAAGTCTTTATACATAAATACATTTTTAATTGTATACATTAAAATGTATAAAAATACAACAAAATTTTAACTTTTTTTTTATATATCTTAATTACAAGTTTAGATATTCTTTTTATAATAATAATCTATTTACCATTAATATCATTATTTACATAACTATATTTGATTTTAAAAAGTGTAAAAAATTGGTATTTCATAGAGAATGGAGTAAATTTTACTTTTTAAAGGCATAAAATGTTATATGAAAAGATATTGAGAAAATACAGAAGCAAGATGTGATTTCAAAAGGGATACAATATAAGGAAACCTACGTTATTTATACATTTATTAATGGTTACAATAGTTTTTTAAGTGTATTGAAATGATAAATATAATCTAATATGATAAATATAATAATATGATAAATATAATATAATATTCAAAAATAGTTTAACTATGAAAATATCAAGTAAACATACCGTTATTTATAAATCAAAAGTGTATTAATGATTTGATTGAACTTCCTATGCTTGATTTTGATTTGAAAATATTTTTTAGTTAACATAAAAATATATGAAAATAGTAGTTCAGTCCATAATAATGCATCTTATTTATTTTATACAATTGGTCACTGTAACACTATAGAAATCTTATATAAATAATTAAATTCAATTCATTTGCAACATGAAATAAAATCGCATTTAAATATATTTGAATATATTTTATATTTCAAGTATGCTAGATCACGTATGCAATACTTGTATGCTTGCGAGTACGCATGCGCACACGCGTGCATGCACAGAGTCAGAGAGCGACCGAGAGCGACTGATTGAAGGGGGGTATACGCAAAGGAATACACAGATACAAATTAAAGATATTAATGTTAACAAAAATTAATATTCTACAAATTTCCTGCTGCAAAAATATTAATATATTATCTAAAACAAAAATCTGCAATAACAATAGTCAGTTAAATACATATTAAACTGTATTAATAATATTATAGTATTATAATATTATAATAACATTTTAATCTAATTCTATATTTGGATAATAATCTTTCCCATAATAATCCATTAAATTGAAAAACATTTTTCTAGTATAATTATTGTGTTTCTTCGAAAAACTATCTGATAGCTATAGCTACTTAGCATTTTAAATAATATATAATATCTTTGAATAGTTATTATATAATAATATATCGTATTTCAGCCAAAAATGTCTAAAACAAAAAGAATATTCATTTTCTATTGATAAAATTCATATTAAATAATGGAATAAACAAAAATTTCATGAGAGTTTCTGCGCAGTAAAGTTTTACTCTGTATGAATGATGAAAGAGAAAGAGAAATAAATAGATAAATAGAAAAGCTATGATATTTCTATATGTATTAAAGTCACGGCCTAAAGAATCCTTGCCTCAAATATTATAAATATAATAAGTACAATGATAAATAAAATAATTAATTATTATTGTGCAAAAATCTACCTTATGCTATATGATTCAAAATAATATTTACTGTCGAATATATTAATTTATTAAAATTTTTATGACACTAATTCATTTATCAAATTTATAATTGATCTTATAAAAACTTAAAAATGGTTTTATACCTTCTATTCATCCATCGTTATTAATTATTAAATAAATATTTAAGGCTTAATTTTCTTTAAATTTTTTATTCCATTAAAAATTCAGAATAGAATAAATGCATATTTAAGACATTTTGAGTCATTAAAAGTAATAAATTTCCTTTTTATGCGATATATATGACTTATAATATTAATAACAAAAATTTATAAATGTTTAAATATGAACCTAAGGTTTTAGAAAAATAAAGTTTTTATAATTCTTCATATTAGATATTTTGGTTGCATATTTAAAAATTAATGTTTACATGTTTTCTTTTATAAAAAAATTGAAAAGACCAGTTATTTATTTCATTACTTTTTATATTTTTTATATAATTTTCTATTATTATTTAATTTAAATTTACTATCTACTATAATTAATATTAAAGTAATATGTTGAAAAAATGATAATAAGTAATTTAAATTAAACATTAGTTTTACATATCAAATAAATAATTTGATTTTTTGCTTTAAAAATTTATGTTTCTCTTATAATATATCTAATACAACAGTTACAAGGTTAAAATTATTTAGAATTATAATAAGTATTAACTTAAATAGTTGTCAAAGATAATTAATAAAGGTGTATCTAAACAATTGTATACATTATTTTCTTTAAAAAAAAATTTAAAAAATTTAACTGTTCTATAGACGGTTTAACTTAAATATTTCGGTTTTTAAAAAATAAAAATAAGAAACTTACATTGACGTATAATTGTAAATTGATATGAAACACTATAAACATCATTTTTTATTTTTAATTTGGCAAAAATATTAATTATGTATCATTTAAAATATCTTTTATTTACTAGCATGAATATAAGAAATATAAATAAATGAATAAGAAAAGTATTAATATATCATATTAATATGATCAAATTATATATTTTAATTTAAAATTATACACATATTGTATATAAAAATAATTGATATTTTTTTATTAAAATAAATTAATTTTTATTTATATTAATTATTATTTGTTTACTTATAATTATTTATTATAATTAGTAAGCTTTTATAATTTTATATACAACTTATTAAATTTTGACTGATAATTACAAGATTTATTAATATTTTTTAGAAATTCTAAGTAAACTTTAATACAGATAATTTTTTATATTTTTCTAATACCTTGGAAAAGTTAACTTACTTTTATAACTTTTTAACAACTTTTTCTCAATTAAATGATTAATTAATCGTTAATAATTAGGAAGACAAAAATTTGATTTTTTTAGGTAAAGAATTCTAATTAGCTAAAAAATATTTATATTTAAAAATTTATTGGGACTGGTGATTAATTTTTCAATTCTAATTCAATTCAAATTTTGTTATTAAATTAACAAAGAAATAAAATAAAGTATACAAGAACTGTAATATATCCATTATAAATACAATTAATTAATAATTATATAAATATCTTCTCTTTTACAAATTAAAAAGATGCATAATTATTAATTTATTATATCATTTTGATGAAAGTTTTCAAATAAGGTTTTTCAAGTGAATAATTTAAAAGTATTTTAATCAAAAATAAATTTTAATAATATACAAAGACTTATTAATTCTATTATAATATGGTTTCAATAATACTATTATTGACGTTCTTGGTATATACATAATGTTACCATCAGTATGTGTAAATTATTTAGAATCTGTTCAAATATCTTGGATGCAAATTGAAGCAAATTGAAGCAATTTGACATAAAGTTTATTGCTATTAGACTATGCGTTTTATGTGCATTTCTTTGACAAGAT